GAAGCAATAAAAGGTGTGTCAGTAGGCCGGAATGAATATAAAGTAAAAGCCTTTGCTGATGATCTGGTAATAACAGTGGAAGAACCGCCAGAAAGTTCAAAAATTGTTTTGGAGGAAGTTGAGCAATTTGGTCAAGTGGCAGGGTTTATATTGAATAAGAAAAAAACTAAAATGTTAGCAAAAAATATGGATCGAGGTATGATAGAAACAATGCAACAACAAACAGGGATAGAAGTGGTGAAAAAAGTTAAATACTTGGGAATCTGGTTAACCCCCAAGAGTATTGATTTGTTTCAGAATAATTATGTTCCAGTGTGGAAGGGAATAAAGAAAGATCTAGAGGTGTGGGGCCGAATGAAGTTATCCTTTTCAGGGAGAATTTCAACAATTAAGATGAGTGTGCTGCCAAAGATGTTATTCTTATTTCAGACAATTCCAATAATTAAGGGGACAGCGATATTTCAAGAGTGGCAAAGAGCAATTTCAATTTATATCTGGCAGGGTAAGAAGCCAAGAATTATGTATAAGTTATTAACGGATGCGAAAGAAAGAGGAGGCTTTGCCCTGCCAGACTTGAAATTATATTATGAAGCTTCATGTCTCTGTTGGTTGAAAGAATGGATAAAGTTAAAAAATACTGAGTTATTGGACTTAGAAGGTTTTGATAACAGATTTGGCTGGCACGCATATCTATGGTGTGAGAAAAGAAAGATTCATAAAGGCTTCGAAAACCACATCTTTAGAAGATCTCTCATAGAAATATGGGAGATATAGAGGCTTATTAGAATCAAGAACTCCCCACTGGCTATCTCCGTTAGAAGTTATGAGTCTTAAGAAAGTCAATATGAGGGGGAACTGGATTACATATAAAGAATTGATTATAAAGGAAGGAGGAAAATGGAAAATGAAACCCTATGAAGAAGTGAAAGAGTATGTGTATGATTGGTTGCATTATTATCAGGTTAACGAAATGTTTAAAAAGGACTTAAAAGAAAGAGGTTATGAGGAAAAAGAATCGAAATTTCAAATAGAAATAATAAACAATGAAAATAAAATGTTGTCCAAGATGTATAAAATCTTGCTAGAATGGTATACAAAAGATGAGGAAGTTAAATCGGTTATGATACACTGGGCCAGAGATCTGGGTTATAATATACAGTTTAACGATTGGATAAAACTGTGGAATGAAAATATAAAATTTACGGCATGTACTGCGTTAAAGGAAAATGTTATGAAAATGATTTATAGATGGTACATCACACCCGTGAAACTGGCAAAAATGTATAAAACATGTAATAAGTGTTGGAAATGTAAAGAAAAAGAAGGAACATTTTATCATATGTGGTGGGATTGTAAGAAGGTGAAGGGCTTCTGGGAAATGATATATAATGAGATGAAAAAGATGTTGAAATATACGTTTGTTAAGAAACCAGAGGCTTTTCTTCTAGGAATAGTAGGAAATGAAATAAATAGAATGGACTGTAAACTTTTCCAATATGCAGTAACAGCAGCAAGAATATTATTGGCCCAAAAATGGAAACAGGAACAACTGCCGACGCTCAAAGAATGGAGACTGAAACTGATGGAGTATGCTGAACTGGACAAACTAACAGGAAAGATCAGATATATACGAGATCAAAAGTTCATTGAAGACTGGGGAAAATTTTCAGACTATCTGAAATGTGTATGTGATGAGCAAATAACGCTAGTGGGATTTCAAGAAGTTCTGTAAATGATAGAGGACTATTGTATTGATGAAAACTAAGTGTGTGAAGGTTTATAAAATGCAATATAAAATTAGGAAATGCGTATTTAAAAATTGAATAATGGATGATTGTCAGAGAGGTTGAAGGAAGTCTAAAAGAGAAAATATATGATAAATTTAGATTGGACACTATAAATGTATATTGGAAAACTTAATAAAAAAATTAATTAAAAAAAACCAACACTCTGTGAGGTGAGTGGGGCTGAGAGACTTCAGAGAAGTGTGACTGGCCCAAGGTCACCCAGCAGCTGCATGTGGAGGAGCGGAGACACAAACCGGTTCCTCAGATTACGAGACTACTGCTCTTAACCACTACATTCAGATGCAAATTGCAAAACATATTGCCCTGGTACTTTGCCTGAGGGCGTTTAACCAGTGAAAGGACTCCTGACTACTCGCTGTGCTTTGAACTATTGTTGATGTGTGAGTATGCTTTTTAATTAGCTATATTTTACCATGTTTTTATTTTCTGTTTGTAACTTCTAAGAACTGTGCAAACCTTTTGAGTAGCTTTTTCAATAAATTTGGAAAAGGACTTTTTGCCTTTTGTATTCTGTGCCTTTGCTCAGAGAAGCTGAACTGGTGCCTGACCGTTTGGACACCTACCAGTTGAATTAATGTCTGCGTCATGGTAAAGTGACTCAGGGCTGGGTAACCTGGTAAATATCGAAGGGAGGTTCTCCTCCTAGAACCCCATTTGAGGGTGGCCCAGGAAAGGAGGTGATGGCAGCTTTACCGTTTGACTTGTGATTTGCACCAACTAGTGAACTCTCCCCCATCCCTGCCAAGTTCTGCCGGTGTCTAGGAGGAATGGTCGGGGGGTGGGTGGGTAGAGCTTCTCTGTATTTAAGCTCATTTTGTAGAACCTAAGATCATATTAAAAGGGACGCAGGTGGCGCTGTAGGTTAAACCACAGTGCAATAAATGTTATGTAATATGCAATGTTAAATTATACAACGGGTTTTAGAATAATTGGCATTACTTTTCAAGGTAGTAGATGACCACCAGAGGCTTAAAAGGAGCAGCAGATCAGGAAGAGTGTTTATTTTACAGCCACTCTGCAGCCTCCCCAGATTCCCACACTTGAAGGAAGCTTTTTCAGATCAGGGAGTGTGGGCAGGCTGAGAGGATGGAGGGGCACTGGATAGAAAAACTTAATGGAAAGAAAAACACACCTTGCAATGTTAAGATAAACTCAACAGACACCCATTGAAACAGTAACAAAATTCTAAAGTAGCCTGAGAATGAAGCAAAGAAATAATAATGGAAGGCTCTTTCAAAGGAGAAGAAAATTTTCCAGAAACTGGAGGACAGGCTTCAGCACAGCACTCACTAGAAGGAGGAGAGGAGAATGAATGAATGAATGAATGAATGAATGAATTTATTTCCTGCCCATCTGACTGGGTTTCCCCAGCCACTCTGGGTGGTTCCCAACAGAATTAAAAGCACAATAAAACATCAGACATTAAAAACTTCCCTAAACAGGGCTGCCTTCAGATGTCTTCTAAAAGTCAGATAGTTGTTTATTTCCTTGACATCTGATGGGAAGGCGTTCCACAGTGCGGGTGCCACTACCGAGAAGGCCCTCTGCCTGGTTCCCTGTAACCTCACTTCTTGCATGGAGGGAACCGCCAGAAGGCCCTCGAAGCTGGACCTCAGTGTATATACAGAAGGTAGTGGTGTGTTTGGGTGCTGAGCTACATCACATCCTATGCTTTGCTGTGGCGACATAGGCAAGGTGTTCACTGATGCAGGCATGGCTTGCAGAATAGCAAGTTTGGCTGTCAACAGGAGTGTGGTCAGGGATTGCAGGGGCACAGAATGAGGTGTGCCCCTCCCCATCCTGTCCAGTCTGCCAGCATATGGTTCTGCTGGTGTACTAGGAAAGCTTTTGTTATACGATGTCTTTATTGTCATTGCCCCATGCAGAACAATGAAATTGAAAAAACAATGAAATTGAAAAATGCTTTCCTAGCATTTCTGAAATGCCAGGAGCTTGTTTATGTTAAAGTTTGTGGGTCGTATATGTTTTGACCCACTGAGTCTGCTGCAACGGCCCTGCAATAAATTTGATTTATTGCCACTCCGACAAACTTCCAATGGCGCCCACATGCTTCTACTCCACACGTTGCCACTCTCCTCAGTTGACGGATAATAGCAGAGTTGACACGCAGCAGAAAATGGCTTGTCTGTGTTGACGTGGTGTCTTGAATAACACAGCTCCGACACCAGTGCTTCTAATCCAAAACTCTTTATTTAGTACCACTCAAAACAGAAAAGAAAACCTGCAGAATCCAGTTGCATGTTCGCAGCTTTCTGCCTCTTAACAAAAACGAAACGACCTTGCTAACGTTCCCAGAGTGCTCTCCAGAGAGAGCTCAGCCCCCAGAGCACAGATCAAAGGAACAAGCATGGATCATGTGGGCAGTGCACCCAGTTGATAAGAATGCTCCTGGAGTGTTAATCCCTGACAGTCCAGAACCATAACAGTTTAGTGTGCAGTTGGACACAGTATTAGGCAGCTGGAAAGCTGATAATGTACAGTTCTAAAAAATGGTGTGGGGGTAGACATGTTAAGCATATGCCCTTATTACACACTTAAATGACCGGCAATGTCAGGGACAACATGTACAAAAATTATATAAGGGAGGAATGGACTCTGTTTCTGTCAAATCCTAAAGCCACTCTGCCAGCATGACTCCAGTACAGGATTATATCCTAAGCTACTGAATGCAGCTCCTCCAAGAATTGCACTGGAAAACAAATACCCAGAGGCATGTGACTTATACTTACAGCAGGAACAGGGAACCTGTAGCCCTCCAGATGTTGCTATTACTAATCTAATCTTATCTATCCATCCTTTTATGGCAAAATAGGCTTTGCAGTGGTTTACGATGTATAAAAAGCAGTTACAGAAATATAAAAGTATAAACATCCATAATTAAGATATGCAATAAAACAATCCAAACAGCAATTAAAAGAGGCTTAAGTTGAGAAACAAGTGCCTCTTCAAAAGTTGGCAGAATGTCAATACCGATTGGGTCTCTAAGGTTTCAGTAGGGCGTTCTTGGATACCAGCTTCTACAATCCCCAACCAGCAAGGACAATGGTCAAGGAACATGGGGGCTGTAGTCTCACAACATCTGAAGGGTCACAAGTTACCCAACCCTGCAATACCTAAATCCAAGACAGGCAACATATACACTTCAGCCAGGAAAGTTCAGCGATACTGTACCAGAGCAACTCCTGCATCAAAATTCCGGAGGCACAGCTTCCCCATAAATCCTGCTCCTACATAATTAGGTTTCTCCCTGTAACTAAAACACAAAAGTAGATGGTGGGCCATACACTTTGGAGTAGCCAAAGGGATTGTGTCTTCAAAACAAATGGCAAAATCTTCACATAATCAAGAAGCTGTGGAGAACATTACATACACAGTGGCCTTCTCAGATCTTGTTACCAAGCTGGTCCCTTCCACCATCATTTGCCCACAATCCCAGGTGAGAAATCTGCTATTTAGCTCTAACATCTGCTGGAATCTTTCAGTAGAAGGGAAATATGTTCCTGGCAGGGGCCTCTAAGCTGTGCTTCTATGCTTTCAATTATCTCTGCTTGCTGTCCACTGGTTGTGGCTTTCTGTACCTACCACTCAATCAGTGTGAGTTTTTAAGAGGAGGGATGACAACATTTTCTTGTGCAGTTTCTGTATTGCAACTATGACAGGTGCTTTGCCAACTTGGTGCCATCTAGCTGTTTGGGATTACAACTCTCATCAGCCACAGCCAACAGATAGCTGGGTATGATAGAAGCTGTAATCCAAAACATCTGGAGGGCACCAGGTTGGCAAAATCTCTGTCTCTCTCATACCCTTCTGCTGGAGTTTTCTGTTATGTCTTAAATTGGCTTTTCCTACAGTTGTCCAAAGATGCATTTGATTTCTCTTCCATATGCTGCCCCACATCAAGAGCATTTAACGTGGCACAACTATTATTTGATATGAGGACATTTTTCATCACATCTTCATCCAAGGAACTCAGGCAACTCTGTGACAAAATGCTTCGTGAGGAAGGGGCATGATATAAATATTGCACTGGATTCAACTAACTGGTCCAAACTTGTGCAAAGACTTAAACCAGCACAATGGGGCTTTCTCCCCTCTGCTCCCATGCCCTCTGATTGGCTGGAGGCAGGGTCCAGAGTGCTCCAAGAACAGCATAGAGGGGAGGGGGGGAGATGGTTCCATGGGGCAAGCAAAAATGCTTGCACTGACATAACATTTGTAACAGCGCACAATGCTGGATTTATTCCTTGACAAACAAATACAGAACGCTGGCCCAAGATACTTCAAGGCTGAAGTATCAAGGCTGAAGAGGAATCTGGAAATGGATCTCTCTGGTTTAACTCTGGTATGCTATCTACAACACAGTGACTGATCATAGGCACTTTTTATTTTAGCTTTACTTATGGAAAGGTTGGTTCACTGCCTTTGGCCAGCTGCTGGTGCTCTTGCAATGCTATATTTTTCAGTTAACTGCACAAAAAGGCTGAAAATCCTTTGATCCTAATAGCATAATTCCAAACCCAGAAGTAGGTCCCATTAAGCTCAACAGGGCATGCTCCTAGGAAAGTAGGCAGGATTTCCACTAACTGGTCTTAGGGCTGACATTAATACATAGTTTCCTTCGTAAAACAGGAGTTGGCCACATGAAGCAGGGAATGGGGCAGCGAAAAGGCATGGTGACATAACAGCCCTTGCAGGGAATTAGTACAGGAAAAAGGTTACCCCCCCCCCCTCATCAGCCATCAGGGCTGTCACCTGCTTTTCCCATATGAAGCCCATTAGAGAGACAATACACCATAACACTCCCAGATGCTTTTGCAGCCCCTTTTCAACATGCAGCCTGGCTGCTGGATCAGGCCAAAGGCCCATCTAGTGGAACATCCTGTTCTCATAGTGGCCAAGCAGGATCTCAATGCAAGAGCACTCTTCTCACTTGTGAGTCCCACCAAGTGTATTCAGAGGCATCCTACCACTGACAGTGGAGGGAGAACATAGTTATCATTTTCTAGCTGCTTGAGTTATTAAACAAAAGAAAACATGTAGTCTCATCCCTCATACCACCATGAAAGTATTTTTAAAAAAACTACTACATTTGGGATGATTTTTCAGTGGGAGGGGGGAATTCTGCACATGGAATGTGCAAACAACAAGTGTAAAATGTGAGCACATGCACAACGGCTATATGAAGTGGACTAAAACTGATCTGTCTATCCCTAGTTTTAACAGCACTGCATTTTGAGGGAAGGCTATGTTATTTATATTTGCTACCTACTCTAAGGAAGAAATATTGTTAAAGGGCACAATGTTCTATAATAAATATTTCAGTAAAGGGTAAAAACTATGGCTCAGGGTGGAACACCTGCTTTCCATGCAAAAGGTCCCAGGCTCAATCCCCGCCAGCTCCAGCTAAGTCTGAGAAAGACGCCTCTCTGAAATCTTAGAGAGCAGCGACACTGACTCGGGCCCCACACTGTGGGTGCCCAGCATGCCCCACCCAAACTGTGACGTCATGACGTCGTAGTGCAGGGCATGAGCTTCAGCACTGAGGTGACTGGACCTCTCCCACCCGAACACCACACTCTCTTCCACCCTCCGCCCAAACTCCACAAACTCTCTTCGACTGGGCGTGATGTCCACGCACCTGCCCCTGCATTTTGTGGCTGCCCAGCCCCTATATGTGAAATCTTGTGGGTGCTTGGGCACCCAGAGCCCCAGGGAGATAGCACCTATGTTAGTGAGTCACTATCTCTCAGTGTATATGAGTATGCATGCTATAGCAATATTAGAGTGCTTTATATGAGAAAATATACCTCCTTACACTAACAAAAGTGCCAGATCATGAGGCCGTAGAACAAGATATGAATTTTTCCAGCGTAAAAATTTTCGTAGTAACACATCGGGCTCTCCTGATGTTGAGATTTTATTATGGTCCGTCCAGAATTCCAAAGAAGATAGAACAACTGTAATGTTAAGCCTAGAAAATATCTGAAAAGATGGAAGGAATGCAAACTCAAATAAAGGCAGGGAAAAATACATGTTCAGTGGTTCCATCTTAATTTTCGACGAATTCATCCTAAAGATTTGGGTGATTGTAAGTAAGAGCCTGGTCCTAATTTGTGCCAGAGCTCACCAGTCTGCCATTACACGTGCAAGAAGCCAGGGGCTCAGGGCTGGTGTGCCCATGAGGCAAATGTGGGGGTGGCCACAGGGAGGCAGCCTCCGGACAGCTGGAAGGGGCACCACAGTACACACGTTGCGACACATACACTGTCTGGGTTCATGCCGATAGTGGGCAGTGAGTGGTGAGTGCTGTGACAAATAGAATCAGTCACCCATGTCCTGGTATCAGATAATTCAATCTAAGCTTATTAATCTGTAGGTTTGTTAGTAAAGAGTGGCCATTCAGACAAATGTAAGGTAGCTGCCTTCAGGATGGGGTATAAGATGGCGATAGTAATCAGGTTTCAGCAACATGTTATATTACATGTAACTTAAGTGTTAGATGCAGGTTTCTGATGAGTAATTTTTTTGTATTGAACCTGCTGGAATCTTGTACATATGCCAATAATAATACTAATAACAATCATAATAATAATAAATTTATTATTTCTACCCCAGCCATTCTGGACAGCTTTCAACAGAACATTAAAAACAGAATAAAACTTCAGATGTCTTCTAAAAAGTCAGATAGTTGTTTATTTCCTTGACATCTGGTGGGAGGGCGCTCCACAGGGCAGGCACCAGCACCGAGAAGGCCCTCTGCCTGGTTCCCTGTAACCTCACTTCTTACAGTGAGGGAATCACCAGAAGGCCCCCAGGGCTGAATGATGGAGGTAGAGGCGCTCCTTCAGGTATACTGGGCTGAAGCAATTTAGGGCTTTAAATGTCAGCACCAACACTTCGAATTGTGCTTGGAAACATACTGGGAGCCAATGTAGGTCTTTCAGGACCAGCCACTCAATAAAGGTTTGAGAATGAGAATGAGACTTCCAGACTGCATGCACATATAGATCCTTGCGCTCAAATGCTGCCCCCTCCCCATTCCTCTTTTAGTGTGTCCACTTATGGTTTTAAACTAAACAGAGACTTCTGAACTGGGGAGGTTGGTTAGTTTGAACTATGGTTTGTTAACAAGTCAAGATCCCACACCAAGGTTTGATCCTGGTTTGTTTCAACAAACAGTACTTTTAACTAAACAGAGTTCCTCCACCCCACCTCACCCTGGTCCCAGTTCAGACATAAAAGAAACTCTAATTAGTTTGAAATAGGAAGCAAGTAGCTTCTGATCTCCTTCTCATGGCTGTGCCAGAAGAGGGGAGAGAAATAAAGAGTGTGTGAACCCAAGGTTCACTGCTAATAGTGTGAAGTGTTAGGGGTAGCCAGTGTGGTGCCCTCCAGACATTGTTGAACTCCCATTCTCTTAAACCATTGGCCATGCTGGCTGGGACAGATGTGAGCTGTGATCTAACAACTGCTGGAGGACATCATTTTGCGCACCTCTGTGCTAAACTGTGTGTTGGCATCATCTGTCTTGAGAGACAATGGAGTGTGCCTCCAGATGTGATGTCAAACCGCTGTGTTAGCAGCACTGAACTGACCTCCCTGGGACACAAGCTTGGGCAGTGCGTCTGGAGGTCCTGGGCTGCCCAGACGAGAAGATCCTCCTCTCAGCCTCACTGATGTGGTCCAAAGGAAAGCAGAGCAAGGCGTTTGGCACCAGCTTGGCTGCAGCAGCTGCTGGAAGGAGGTGTACAAGGTGCCATCCAACTGTCTTAGGGATTCCACTCTGGATTTGTGTAGGGTTTATTCCTTAGCCTTTTCTTCTCTCAAATATATCCCACAAGGCAGCAGAGCTTTAGGATCAGAGTTTTCCTTCTTCCCAGGTTGATGAGCCCTATCTGCCCCTCACTTCCCTCTACAACACATGCAGAAACTGCCTTCTTGACTGTTGGACCCCCTCTTGGTCTCATCTGCTCAGTCTGCTGGAGCCTGTCTTTGCATGCAGGGGAAGTCCCTAACTCACCAAGGGGTTGAGACCCATTAGCTACCCTCACCTGGTTTAGCCAGCCAGCCAAAGCTGTTCCTGGGGTGTGGCCACTGTTGTATGCTGACAGCTTCTAGGAACCATGGGTGAGAGCTGAGTGCAGGGTGGCAACCAAAGTGGACAAACTACCCCAGAAAGAGCAGGATGTGTCCCCTACCAGAGGTACTACCCCTCCCCTAACATTCCATACACCCCTGTGTTAAACCATGGTTTAACATTATGTCCTAAAAGCGTCAGACATGCCAATCTTGTCTTCTACTGTAGGGTAAGTACTACTGAAACCATGCATGCTGTTTAAGTTAGTCAAAACTAAGTGGTGTCTCGATTTAAATGGAATGTAATCTATACTAATTTAACTGGATCAAGACCTAATTATCTGATATAACAGAACATAATGATCAGTGTTGGCCATTTAATTATTTGCGTACATTATTTATATGCTCCCTTTCCAAGAGGAACATTTTATGTAACATTGTAATGTTTAAATAAGATCACGAGCCATGACCTCATGAGTGTGCATGTATTCCTATCATCCAATGCTATGCAATTACTTTGCCAGAACATATGCTTGCAAGACAAGGCTGTTAAGAGTGAGCCAAGTGAAAACATCCAAGTGGCTCTTGTTAGTACAAAAGAAAAACAAAACATGGCAGTCACTTACACTGTTGACAAAACCAATAAGCTGTGCTATGCTGTCGGTTACAATTTCTCTGCTTCCACCCAAAAAGTTGTACTGGAGAGAAAAACAGTTGTGTGCATCATAGCAAAAATAAACAATAAAAGTGTTGGCAACAGAACACATGCAACTTGATATGACAGCTGAACCAGACGTTGGGCCAGGCATATATGGAAAAGAGATGTGAAGTGATTTGAATGCACTTAGAGCTCGCCTTTCTGTGCATGTGCGTCTGTAGGATAGCAGTGAATCAAACAACCTTAGCAGGGTGAGATGGTCTTCAGGGTCCTCAACAACCTCCTGTCATGCTTCAATTGCAGTCTACTGCTAATAAGCTAAGTGAGTATACGGTGTTATCTCATTTTATACTCAGGAGTGGCCCTGCAAACCAGATTAGATTGAGATAAAAGGGCTAGGCCAAGTTGACCCTATATGCCAAATCTCACCATCTAAGGCTAACACTCTATCCACTACACCAGTTTCCAACCTGTGTGCCATGGCACCCTGGGGTGCCTTGAATGATGGTCAGGGGTGCTGTAGGCACCTTCCCTCCCTCCTCTGATGCCCTCTTGCATCTCTGCCTCCCAAAGGCTTGCACAGCTGTTTGTTGCAGCAGCCTGGCTACAAGCTCCGCAAGCAAATGATGCCTCTGAGGCTGGCCAGGGGATGCTGGTTGCCAGGAGCTGAGGCGGCCTCAGAGTAAGCAAGCAAGTGGGTGAGGGAGCCCAGCCAGTCAGTCCACCAGCCCTTATTGTTGAGAATGGCTGAACAAGTAGGAAGCCAGGCAGGCAGGTGCCATGCTGGCATTTCTTGTGCTTGTTGTGTGCAATGCCTTTCTGGGAGCTGAATGCCCAGCGCCAAAGGGAGCCTTTCCATCCTGCAGGCCTGGCGCCACCCACGACTGCCTCCCAAGGTGAGTAAGGTGCTGGCCTCACGCACACCTTTGGCCGGTCTCCACTGGGCTGCTAAGGCTGGGGGCATCCTCTTCCCAGGGCCTCTTTGGGGTAGTTCAGAGACCAGGGGCAGTCGCGGCAGCTGCCTGGAGGACTCCCAAGGAGAGGTGGCTGAGGGAATACTCCACAAGGCAGGGTGTTCGAAAAGGGTGAGAGGCTGCTGACTCTGCAGGCAAGGGGTGACATAACTGGGCTTCTGAGGCTTAGAGTGTTTCCCCACAGTGCAGCTGCAGAAAGAATGTAGTTGGTCAAGGGAACATGGACTCAAAAAGGTTGAAAACCTCTGCAATGTGGGATGTGAAACACATAGCAATCAAGTACAACATTCCTAGAGTGAACATGATAGAGGATGCTTTGTTCCAGCCAGAATAAAACTTCCTGTTTCCTCCTGAGCTGGGACAAACTTCCTCTGCATGTGACTAGAGGAGGGCATGGTCTAATCCGGCCCCCTCTCTGCCTGGGAACAAAAGCAAGGCAGGGAGCACATCTCTCTCTCTCTCTTTCGGCTCTTCTCCATTTTGTTTTTCTATGTGTGAGGAGAAGTGACTGCTTGTTGCAGTCACTTAGGAACTAACTAACTCCTTTATGGGATATTTCCACATATGCAATATACTTTTGTAACATAAGTCTGCTTTCAGGGATCCAACTGTGAACTGAATGAATGTGAGTAAACTACATTTATATTGACTTTAATAAGATTATTGTGTTTATTTTTTTTAAGAGGGACAAGAAGGGATCCTACCAGAAGAGCTTCCAGTTGATCGCACACCATCACAGTCGAAGGTCTCTTCGTCGGAGAAGACCTTGGTACATCAAAGGCGGGGGAAACTGCTCCAGTGTAGCGGACCCACAGGAAAAACCTCAAATCGAGCATGAGGTCGAGCATGAGGATGTGGGATCCGGTGGGCGTCAAAAGCAGGATCCCCCCTCCCCGGTAAGCTCTGTTTTGAGCTCTGAGATCGAGGGGGTTGGAGCTGCAACGCAACGGATAGAACACTTCCTTTGATGGTACGAAGCTGTGAGACTGTGAGGCATTAGTGGTCAATTCTTCCAATGCTAAAATCATTTAAGGACTATACTATGAGTACCCTTTATATTTGGATTAAAATTTGGAACAATCTGGGCATGGGTAAGGGAATTTAAAAACGGAAGTCAGTCCCTACCCGCTGATAGAGAGACTTTTAAACTTCCAAAGACTGGATCTATTAACCCCCCAAAAGCAGGTGAAGGGGGGGGGAGAGGATTTAACATTACTGAAATACCTGCAAAAGCTCTTTAAAATGTATTTTAAAAGCCGCTTGACTCTCTGGAAGCGGTGACCAGGTCAGAGTGGCAAACAGCCATTGTGATGTAACAATAGAAGGAATGCTTGTTACTTTCGTTTCCTACTTGGATATTTTGAAGTTGCTGCAGTGGTCAAACTGAAACATTTTAACCCTTAAAGTGAAAACTAGCAACATACCTCTATCTGAATTGCTTGAGGAGTGAAAAAGGAAAATAAATAAGAATGGCAGGTTGGAAAAATTGGGACTGTATTTTAACTGCCTTGTCCTGCAAACTGGAGCTGTTGTCTGACTTCCAGCTCATTACTCCTGACTGTTTTGAAATAAAAGTATCTTTGACCTTGGAAATCTGAGTTACTAGCGGTGCTATAGCGAGTGAGCCTGGGAAAAAGCCACAAACAAGAAGAGACTCTAAAGACCAGGCTTTCCAAGAGCAAATATTGGAGTTTATGAAAGATAATAAGCAGGGTCTGCAGAGTCTTGCAACAGAGGTCAGAGCTAATACGCTCTGTCTCCAGGAATTTAAAAAAGACTTTGGAATTCTGTGCAAAGACCTCCAAGAGGTTAAATAAGAAGCTGCAGGTTTACAGAAAAGACTATCAGAGATTGAAGCTGTTAAACTTTCAGACTTAAAAAAATTACAGGAAGAGGCCCAAACAGCAATAGCTTTTTTACAACTTAAGGAAAGAGAGACATATCTTCGTTTGAGAGGCCTACCAGACATTGAACAAGGAAATTTGAAAGAGTGCTTGGTCCAGGAATTTGTGTCCTTTTGGGACCTAACAAAGGAAGAGGTGGAACCCACAATTGTAAAGGCCTATAGATTTGGACCCAGAGGAAAAAAGGACTCAACATTTTATATGATTGCCTGGTAGTCTTTCAAACAAAGGATCAAAGTGATAAAATTTTGGGATTGCATTACAAGAAGAATTTTGAAGTACAACAACATTCAATTGTTTTATTTAAAGAAATCCCAAATTTTTTCTTGGCAAAAAGAAATAACTATTTGGATCTTACAAGTGCATTGAGAAGAAACAATATCTTCTTTCGATGGGAATTTCCACAAGGCCTTTCATTTAAATACCAGCAAAGGAAACTTCGAATCAGGTCAATTGAAGAAAAGAGAAAAGAACGCTAGTGGTTTTGGATTTGACACAGGAGCAGGAGTTGGATCAGCTACAGGTGCAGGTCTGGGATCAGGATCAGGACTTGGGGCAGGAGTCAGACCTCCAGATTTGGACTGAGATAATATGGCATTAAGAATTTTATCTTGGAATGTGAACGGACTTAATTCACGGCCTAAAAGAAATAAAATTCAACATGTGCCGATAAAACAGAATTTAGATGTGATATGTTTACAAGAAACTCATGTAATAAGAACCCACAGGAACGTTCTGCAAAATTAGGCCAGGAATTTATCTCTTCGGATAAGGTTAAAAAAAGAGGTGTTGTGATTTATGTTAAAGAGAAATTGAGTCCCAAAATGATCTTTAAGGATGAAGTTGGAAGATATGTTGCAGTGGAATTGACAGTACAAGGCCAAAAACTCTTGATGCTTGGAATCTATACACCAAATGAGGGCAAATCGGAATTCTTTAAAAATTTGTAGGCCACCCTTACGGATTACTGGATTACAAAATTATCTTGATGGGGGATTTGAACAACAATGATGGATAGAACCCAAAGGCAAAAACTTACTAATGATGGGAGGCTACCAAAGACATTTTTTGAGATGGTGGACAATTTTGACCTGATGGACATTTGGAGATTGAGGAATCCAAAAATGGAGAAAGATTTTTTCAGATGCAAATCTATCATGTAGCTGCCTGGATTACATATAGCTAACTTGACCCCAAGAGTGACTAAATCTGAGATTTGTCCAATCATTTGTCCTATCATAATGCTGTGCTGACAAAGTTAAAATTGTCTCTAGAGAGTTCTTTTAGATGGCGGATGAATGAAAAATGATTTGAAGAAGAAGAAGAGTTTGGATTTGATATTCCCGCCTTTCACTCCCTTTAAGGAGTCTTAAAGCGGCTAACATTCTCCTTTCCCTTCCTCCCCCACAACAAACACTCTGTGAGGTGAGTGAGGCTGAGAGACTTCAAGGAAGTGTGACTGGCCCAAGGTCACCCAGCAGCTGCATGTGGAGGAGTGGAGACGCGAACCCGGTTCCCCAGATTAGGAGACTACCACTCTTAACCACTACACCACACTGGCACACTGTTGATTGTAAATAAAGCTCAGAAGACCCTAAAGGACTATTTTGAGTTGAATTTTGGAATTGAAGCAAGGGTCGTATGGGATGCAAGTAAAGCAGTAATGCAAAGTTTCCTGATTCAGCAGAATTCTATCAGGAAGAAAGCACAGAATGAGCAAAAGGAAAAAAATTCTGTCTCAATTAAAGGAGAAAGAGAAAAAAATGAGATGTAATCCAAAAAATCAACAGATTCAAAAGGAGATTAAGGTGTTACAATCTCAGTATTCACAAATAGTAAATCAAGAAATTGAATGGAAAATTAAATTGATGAAACAAAAGACTTTTGAATCGGCAAATAAATGCGGAAAATTATTGGCTTGGCAATTGAAAAAGAGACTGAAGAAGAGTACAATAATTAATATTATGGAGGATGGAAAGAATATTGAGAACCCAGTAGAGATTCGAAAATGCTTTCAAAAGTACTATAAACAGCCTTACAAAAAAGAAAAAGAAGAAAAGGAAAAAATGGAACAGCTTCTGGACAAAAATAGATTGCAGAAAATTCCAGCGGATAAAAAGAACCTACTAAATGAACTGATTACAAGACAAGAAGTTGAAGGGGCAATTGCCCAAATGCAAATAGGCAAAGCACCAGGACCTGATGGCTTAACATCCAAATATTATAAAATATTTAAGGATTGGCTGATACAACCATTGATGGATGTTTGTAACAAGATATTATAGGGGGACAAAGCACCCGAGTCCTGGAAAGAGGCATTCATCACTCTGATACCCAAACCGGACACAAATAGAGCTCAAGTAAAGAACTACTGACCAATTTCTTTTTTGAATGTGGAGTATAAAATATTTGCATATATTTTGGCTACAAGATTGAAGAAGGTTTTGAATAAGCACATACATAAAGATCAATCAGACTTCCTACCTGAGAGGCATATGAAAGATAATATTAGGAACATAGTGGATGTGTTGGAAAGATTAGAGGTAAAAATGAAAACTAAAGCAATGTTAATGTTTATTGATTCAGAGAAAGCCTTTGATAATGTTTCTTGGAGCTTTATGAAGCAGAACTTATGTAATATGGGGGTTGGTCAAAACTTTTAAAATGGTATTAATGCAATTTACTTTGAGCAGAAAGCAAAAATTATAATTAACAATGTGGTCTCAGAAGAAATTAGGATTGAAAAGGGAACCAGGCAAGGGTGCCCACTTTCCCCCCTGCTTTTTATTTCTGTCCTAGAGGTGCTGTTGAACATGATAAGGAAGGATGAGGAAGTTAAAGGCATAGTAGTGGGAACTAAACAATGTAAGTTAAAAGCCTTTGGTATTGACTTTACAGGACCTTGAGACCAGTGCAATCAAAGCACTGAAGATAATTCAAGAGTTCAGACAAGTTGCAGGTTTCAAATTGAATAAGAATAAAGCCAAAGTCTTGGGGGGGGGGGAACAACGATACATGAAAAACTTAATTTAGAGGAAACCACAGGGCTGAAGTTTGCGAAAAAGGTGACGTATCTGGGTGTAAATATGATTGCAAAAATTTGAATTTGTATAAAGACAATTATGAAAAGTTATGGAAGGATATCAAAAGAGATTTGGATATCTGGACAAGGTTGAAATTATCTTTGTTGGGCCGAATTTCAGCGGTAAAGATGAATGTATTGCCTAAGTTGTTATTTTTGTTTCAAGTTGACAACTTGAATTGTTTTAAGGAATGGCAAAAGGAATTATCTAAATTTATCTGGCAGGGGGGAAACTCCCAGAATTAAGTTTAAATTATTAACAGATGTGAAAGAGAGAGGGGGTTTCTCCCTGCCAGATTTAAGTATTTACTTTGAAGCAGCATCCTTTTGCTGGTTGAAAGAACGGTTTTTGTTGGAAGATACAGATGTTCTAGATTTGGAAGGTTTTGATAATGTATTTGGTTGGCATGCATATTTATGGTATGATAAGATAAAAGCTCACAAAGGATTTAAAAATCATAGAATTAGAAAATCTTTGTACAATGTTTGGATAAGATATAAGGATTTGTTAGAAAGGAAAACACCAGATGGATATCACCATTGGAAGCTAAGACCCATAAAAGGTTGAATATGAAAGCCACATGGTTGAAGTATAATGATATTTTGATGGAAGCAGGGGACCAATTTACATTGAAATCTTATGATCAGTTGAAAGATAAATTAGATGATTAGTTCCAGTACATCCAGATAAATGAAGCATTTAAAGTGGATAAGAAAATTGGTTTTCAAACAGAGAAATCCAAACTGAAAATGGAATTATTAGATACAAAAATAAAAAACTTATCCAAGATGTATAATTTATTGCTGGAATAGCATACGAAAGATGAACAAGTGAAATCTGTAATGATTGAATGGGCTAGGGATGTGGGGCACAATATTATGATGGTGAACTGGGAGAAATTGTGGAAAAAAGGAATCCAATTTACAGAATGTAGTGTATTAAAAGAAAATTTGATGAAAATGATGTATATATTGTACTTAACACCAGTGAAGTTAGCAAAAATGTATCATACTCATGATAATAAATGCTGGAAATGCAAGGGAAAAAGAAGGAACCTTTTACCACATGTGGTGGACGTGCCCCAGGGTAAAAAGACTTATGGGAAACGATTTATAATGAACTGAAAATAGTGTTTAAAAACACATTTATTAAGAAACCAGAAGCCTTTTTACTTGGTATAGTGGGGGGTAAAATCCCCCGAAAGTATGCTCCTTTTTTTCTGTATGCCACAACAGCTGCGAGAATATTACTAGCGAAGAACTGGAAGAAACAAGATTTACCAACTATTGAAGAATGGCAGATGAAGATGATGGACTATATGGAACTTGCTGAACTGACTGGGAGACTCCGGGACCAGAGAGAAGATATGGCGGAAGAAGATTGGAAGAAGTTTAAAGAATATTTGAAAAAAATGTTGATATTTAAATTAGAATAGCTTTGGAAGTGGATATAGGCTGTAGGGTAGAAGTAGAAGATAGTGTATTTTAAAATAGTATTATATGTAAGGGATAAAATGTGAAGATTTTTATGCTAAAAGTAAGTGTGATTTTTAAAAATGGTTAAAAATTATGATATATATAAACTGCTAAAGATGAGGTAAAATGCAAATCAGATAGGAAGGACTTGGGGAAGCTCACCTAACAATGTTTAGAAAAAATAAGGATAAGACAAGAATTTGTTTGTATTGTTTGTTTGTTTTTTCTGTTTGTGCTGTTTATTTGTGTTATAAAATGAATAATTTTTTTTTGGAAAAAAGAAAGAAAGAAGGGATCTTACCAGGAATCCTATATATTTAGAGGCTAAAACTAGCCTGCAACAAGTTGTGTGTTTGAAAAGGGAATGTTGAAACTCTGCTTAGATATAGAACTTGCTAACACAAGTTAGGAAGGATATCATTAAACAATATATCCTCTCTTGCCTCCCTGAACATTCCCACATGCACAACACTATGCTGGTTCAATGAATTGCCCTTGCAGTTTAAGAAGATGTGTTTCAGGTGGTCAGTAACTTACCAAATCCTTATCCAAAACGATATATATTTCTATGTATCTGTGTACTTTAGTGACATCTGACAGTGGCTGAGGAAAGACAAAATAAATCACATTTAGTAATCATTTTTGTATTTTGGTCCCGGAGCTTTTATAATGCAAAATGGCTTAACGTTAGCAGCAGATTACTAGAACCAAGCCTGCATCAAGCTGCCCCACTGAAAAAAATCATTTCAAAAGCTGTGCTTTGCATCTGTATTGTAAGCCTACTAATCTGAGTTCTCAGGGAGGACTCCAAATAAAAAATGATTATTGATGGTAATTACTCCTAAAGGCCAGTTTAAGAGTTAAAGAATCCTCTTAGCACTTACCACAGTATCTGAGAGCAGCTTATAAGGCATGCCCTCACTCCCCAGTTGTCTTTCTGTAGATGGCAAATCTTCTCTCCTAAGTGGACTCTGGAGGTTTTTGTTGTTTATCTGATAAATCAGGTGTTCAAAATTAGCTGAGGATTTCAAATGCTCAATTCCATAGCTGACATTCTCAAGCTGCAACAGCCCTCTGGAAAAAATAGAGAGTACTAGCCAAGGTTCAAGGAGACTACAGTGGTACCTCGGGTTACATATGCTTCAGGTTACATAAGCTTCAGGTTACAGACTCCCCTAACCCAGAAATAGTACCTCAGGTTAAGAACTTTGCTTTAGGATGAGAACAGAAATCATGCTCCGGAGGCAGCGGCAGCTGGAAGCCCCATTAGCTAAAGTGGAGCTTCAGGTTAAGAACAGTTTCAGGTTAAGAATGGACCTCTGGAACGAATTAAGTACTTAACCCGAGGTACCACTGTACAGGAAAAGTGAGCTTAATTAACCTCAAACCCGCTGTGGGATGCTATGAATGTTTTTCATTACTCCCTTTATGCTCTGAGCACATGATACCCCACCTCACACACAGTGGCTTTCTGATCGCTCCCAAACAAACTCCCATCCCTTATCTTGCACCTCACCTCCACTTCTCGGTGCTCATGTCCCAGTAAAATCCTGCCCATCTTTTGTCTCACCTTGAATACTCTCAGTCCCTTGAACACATCCTGCTCCACCCTTTCCCCTTGGCTGCACTTTGATGATGCTCTCATAGGCGCCGACTCCATGGGGCCTGAGGGGGCTCGAGCCCCCTCAAAAAAATTTTGGGGGGGGCTCAGCCCCCCCAATAATCTCGGGCGCCCTTCCAGCAGAGCGCCGCCGCCGTCCCCCGCCTCCTCCCCACCTGCTCCCTCGCCAGCCAGCCAGCCAGCCGCGCGCCCTAGTCGGAGAGCCCCGGCCGTCCCCCGCGAGATTAGGGAATCCCCGGGGGCGGGGGCTCCTCCCTCGCTGCTTCGCAGCACCACCGCCACTGCCAAGGCACTGCCGGGGGGAATTTCCTTCCTCCTGGCGGTTTCAGCCCCCGCGAGAACAGGGGAATCCCGACTGGCCACACCTCCCAGCCAGCCAATCGGCTGGCTGGGGGGGCGTGGCTTGCCCTATTTAGGGCCGGAGCCACTTTATTTGCATATTCATGAGCTTATTTATTATTCATGAGCTTTCCCGGGCCCCCCCAATATTTTTTATAAGTCCACGTCCCTGGATGCTCTTCCTTTGAAAACTAAGGGCTTAGCCACACTTATCTTTGGTCCCACTCTTTCAGGCAGGGTCCAATGCTTTAACACTCCATTTCAGAGCAGTTTCCCGCCCACCCCAAGCATTTGCCGGGGGGGTGGGGACACTTGTTAAAGATGAATCAGTGCAAACATCCATTTGGGTTTTCCACTGACTGACATTTGCTCCAGTCGAGCTTTAAAGAGTGTGTTTTCACAGGGAATGCTCCAAAGCTAAAAACAGGTGCTCAGACACAGAGCTTTAAATTGTGAGCTGTGTCAGGAAAGAGCAGAGGAAAGATAAGTGTGGATAAGCCCTAAATCATTCCAAGAAGACATTATAGAGAAGCAAATGGCTTTCATAAGGACTGCCAATCACTGGAGTTTGCTAGTTCTGTGTTTGGGCGCACAGTATCTTAGGGTGCTGGCCATCTCCTCTGGATACCTCATACAGGGACAGGGGTATTTGGCTGTCTGCTGGAATGCTTAAGCAGGGCCTCCACTTATGCTTATGCTCAGCCTGCATGTTTGTAAATAAGCTCAAATATTACAAAACCAAGTAAATCTACAGTGATTTCCTTCCAAAGGAGACCAAAACTGGGTAGGCCCCACACCTGGGAACTTTCCACTGCTCAGAGAAGAGTAAATATCTTGGGCTGCTGTGAACTTCCACTCAACAAAGTCAGGAATGTGAAGCACAATGATGGGGATGGGAGAGACAGGACATATACTGCATGTACTTTTGTGAAACATCGGGTGCCTGGATTATGCCAGAGACAGATAAATTGATTTAGGCTGTTGAAATCTCTTACCTGAGCCCATAACAGGTGCTGAGTATTGCAACAGAGTTTGGGAACCCTTGTATGTATCCTTGGTAGAAGCATTCGCCCTAAAGTTATTTTTTTAAATTAGAAAAAAGCAATTGATGCAGCATTTACACAATTGAAATTCTCTATTAACTAGCCTTACATGCAGTTTTTAACCCTCACCCTCCTGCCCCACAGTTTCAGTCCCCCCCGAATTGTGCTTCTAACCATCTTCCATCCGTTCATGTAATGTGCCAGTGACAGCTTGTCTTAGAAAGAGAGAGCTTTCGAAGTTATTTGTGCTGTTCATGTGAATTATTATTATCTATAACATGTGTACACTCCCATTCATCTGAGGATCACAGGGCAGTTGTCAATGTAAAAACACAAAAATAGATGGTATAGTAACAATAGATAGTAACAAACAATAGATAGTAACAAACAAAAACAATAATCACCACCCACCCAATTTGATTTTAATTAATTTTTATAATGAAATATTTTTAGAATGTGTGATTATTTGACTGTTTGATTATTTGATTGTTGTTAGCCGCCCTGAGCCCGGCTTCGGCTAGGGAGGGCGGGATATAAATAAAATATTATTATTATTATTATTATTATTATTATTATTATTATTATTATTATTAAAAAGGCCATAGATTGTTTAATCAGCCAAAGGCCTGGGAGGAGAGGAATATGTTCTTGCCTGGCAGCTAAAGATATGTAACAAAGCTGCCAGGTGAGCCCCCCTGGGAGAGCATTCCATAAGCAGGGAGCTACCCCAGCCATTCTCATGTTGCTGCCCTCTAGGTAAAGGCAAAGGACCTTGGATGGCGACTATGGGGTGTGCCGCTCATCTTGCTTCAGGCTGAGGGAGCTGGCATTTGTCTGCAGACTAAACTGCTACTGGCACAATGGAAACACCACGACAGAAGCCAGAGCGCACAGAAATGCCATTTATTTTCCTGCCGCAATGGTACCTACTGTATGTATCTACTTGCACTGGTGTGCTTTTGAACTGCTAGGTTGCCAGGAGCTGTGTCAGAACAGTGGGAGTTCACCCTGTTGTGGGGATTTGAACTGCCAAACTTCCGATCAGCAAACCCATGAGGCTCAGTGATTTAGACCACAGCACCACTTGTGTCCCTTTACTTTACCTTTACCTGCTGAATTCTGCACCAGGTGAAGATTCTGAATCGTCTTCAGAAGCAACCCCACATATAATGGGTTGCAATAATCTAAGATAAAGGTTACCAGAGCATAGTTTGCAGAAGTTAGGCTATGCCTTTCCAGATAGGGGCGCAGCTGGGCACTCAATGCAACCGAGGCCACTTGAGCCTTAAGTGGCAGCAATGACCTAGAAGCACCCCCAACTCCTTCAGAGCAAGTGAAACCCCATCGAGAGCAGACAACTTCCCAGCCATCTGCTCTAGGGAACCACCCACTAAAGGTGCCTCCGTCCTATCTGGATTGAGCTTCGGTTTGTTGGCCCTCATCCAGTCCATTACTCAGGCAAGACAACAGCCCAGCACTTCCACTGCCTCATCTGCAGATGTAAAGGAGAAGCAGAGCTGTGTGCCATCAGTATATTGCTGAAAATGTACTCCAGAACTCTGGATGGCCCCCTTAGGACCCATTCCAGTGCATGGTATGTGGGTCTGCTTTGGAAGATGGTCCAAAAAGTGAAGCAAATACATAACAGAGCAACTATGTTACTAACTGGGCCTGGACATACAGAAGAACGCTTTTCACCAGCATAGCTTCCTAGCTCTCCATAAGTTTTCAGACCTAATTCAAGGTGCTTGTTTTGACACATTAAGCCTCAAGCCAAGTTACCTGATGGAGAACCTCTCCTTGTACCATCCCGCCCAGGATCTGAGATCTGCCTGGCAGGTCCTTTTGGTGGTACCATTGCCATATGCAGCTGAGCTACCAAAACTTTTAATGAGGCTTTCTCAATGGAAACCCCACCTCCCTGCCCCTGGTTGTGGAACACTTTTGCTCCTGAGCACCAACAATGGTTAGCTTTCAGGACCAGGGCAGACATCGTGATGTTATATACAAAACTGAATTATGAATTTTAGATGCTTTAATATTTCTATGACTATTTTGTGCTGCTTAACATGAGGCTCCTCATGAGGCTGGAGGAACATTGCCTGGCTGTGATTGTGAAGGCCGCTCCCTACAAAGCCCTTTCTACCTGGCCTAGGGGGCAGGGCCCACACTCACCCAGCCCTACTTTGTTAAATACAGTGGTACCTCGCAAGACGGAAAACTCGCAAGACGAAAGGGTTTTTTTGTTTTTTGAGCTGCTTCGCAAGACGATTTTCCCATTGGGCTTTCTTCGCAAGACGGAAACGTCTTGCAAGTTTGTTTCCTTTTTCTTAACACCGTTAATACAGTTGCGACTTGACTTCGAGGAGCAACTCATAGCACGCGGTGTGGTAGCTTTTTTGAGGTTTTTGAAGACTTTGGTGATTTTTGAAGCTTTTCCAAAACTTTTCCGACACTGTGCTTCGCAAGACAAAAAAAATCGCAAGACGACAAAACTTGCGGAACGAATTAATTTCGTCGTGCGAGGCACCACTGTATGTATTCTGTAGTTGACCTCCTTTGTAATGTTTTATTTTGAAATCTTTAAGATAACATTTTAGTTTTCTGTCACGTTGCTTTGACTGTATTTATACTCTATATTTGACTTTCTTCAGATTGTTTTATTTATGTTTTATTGATTTAATATGCTGTAAACCACTTTGGGACGCGGGTGGCGCTGTGGGTAAAACCTCAGTGCCTAGGACTTGGTGATTGTATGGTCGGCGGTTCGAATCCCTGCGGCGGGGTGAGCTCCCGTCATTCAGTCCCAGCTCCTGCCCACCTAGCAGTTCAAAAGCACCCTTAAGTGCAAGTAGATAAATAGGGACCGCTTTATAGCGGGAAGGTAAACGGTGTTTCCGTGTGCTGCGCTGGTGCTGGCTTGCCAGATGCAGCTTCGTCACGCTGGCCACGTGACCCGGAAGTGTCTTCAGACAGCGCCGGCTCCCGGCCTCTTGAGCGAGATGAGCGTGCAACCCTAGAGTCGGTCACGACTGGCCCGAACGGGCGGGGGGGGGTACCTTTAAACCACTTTGAGATTTTTCTTAAAACTATAAAGTAGTATAGAAATTAATTATAATATAATATAATATAATATAATATAATATAATATAATATAATATAATATAATAATATAATAATAAAATAAATAAAAAAAATAAAAAAATAGTAATTTTTGTTGCGACCCACCATGCAATCATTTTGAGGAAGAACAAGATCTTATGCATACCACTTAGGAGGGTTTGTTATGATTATTTGGTTCATACATTTATTTAAATAAATAATAATATTTTATTTTATTTTTACAAATAAGTAGCTTGGAACCAAGTTACTTCAAGGGCTGCCTCTTCCTGCATGAACATACCTGACTGTTGAGAATTTCTTTTGAGACTTTTCTGTGAGTCCCTGGGCTATTTGAGGCAAGGTGTGGGAGGTAACTGGGGGGTGTGGGGTGTTCTGCTGTGAAACCCCTCCTTTGGAAATTGCTCACCAGAGAAGCTTCCCCATCACCTCTTACAAATGTCATATGCATTTTATTTTTTTACTTTCCCCCAGGCTTTTTTGCAATGTTCAGACTGAAGGGTTTATCTGATCTCAAAATGCCCTTTCCCCACAATCTTCTTCTGTAGTGAAGTTAAATCTGTATTGTTACACGCCACCCCAATCTCCATGAGCAGTGTGATATTCCAGGGGTTGCAGGCACACTTTCCTTTTGGGAATGAGGCACAGTGGAGAATGGGGTGTCTTTATGATATATGGTTTATTTACACATACATACAATCTGATTCTAGATGGGTGGGAATCCCAGCATTACACCCCAAGAGGATCTCTTGGGTGTCAGATTTTAAAGAGACCTCAGCCATAACTCTGCATATCTGCCTTCTTCTTGTCGCTTCCAGACTGGAGAGGATTTTCCCCCACGCTCACTTCATGCTTTGGCATCTCCCACCCCCTGCCCCACTCCCCGCCGCCTTCAAGTTTGCAAAACCAACACTTTCTTTCTGTTTGCTTACTTTAGGCCCAAGGAAATTCTGAAATTTCTTCTACCCAACTCTGGCATTGTTTTTGCTAACTACCCCCCCCCCTTTGCAGCTGGCATAGCCTCTGCTTTGCTGCTTATCACTCTTTCTGACTTCTCTGCCAGGGAATTCTCCATCAGGAAAAATTAGGGTTAGCCTGTATTTTACACTGCTTTTTTGCGGGGGGGGGGGGCAGAATCTGGCATGCAGGAATTTAGGAGAGTCATGGTACCCCACACACCCATAACAATATTGTATTGCCTCAAAATTTTGTACACTGCTTTTGTATATCTGACAAGTGGTGTACAAACACTTAAAATCAATCAAGCAATGTCTGAAATGACATCCAAACACAATTAAGAACCTTTACCTGAATATGTGGGGAATTGGGGTGGACAAAGCCTCCTTGGTTGTATGTATAAACCAAAAAGTCATTGGGCAAAAATGTTCTGTGAAGAAAACAACAAAGTGATATTTATGTTGGCATTGCAAAATGAATGACTGCCCTCTGGGGAAAGTCTCATAGGGTTGGGTTGAAGAGGTAACTAATGAAGATCCCCTAGGATGCTGTACTTTGTATTTGTCAGCTAGCAAGCTAAGGAAAAGAAAGAGGGGATGCTTCTGAAATTTGCTGGCAGTGCTAAGTGAAGAGGTACAGCATTCATAAATACTAGTAGCAAACTGCCTATCACAATGATGGAGGCAGAGATCTTTACTGCAGTGCTTCCCATAAGTGAGGCCCAGATCCCCTTGAGAGGTTGTGGGCACTCTCTCATTGGGGGTTTCTAAGCAGAGGGTGAATGGCCCTCTGTCATGGATGCTTTAGATGAGATCCCTGCATTGCAGGGGGTTGGACTAGATGACCCTTGGGGTCCCTTCCAACTATATGGTTCTATGATTCTATGATCACACAGTGTCAGGGAATGTAGGGAAGGTTGTTTTCACCACAATGTTGTCTCCCTTTGCAGTGGTTTGCTTTTCCTGTCTCCTTGATCCTTGCCCATCCTGGCTCATAAAAGCAAGTCTGGAAGGGCTGGGCAATGGGCTCTGCGGGGGGGTGAATACTTCCCTCTGCAAGGGAGCCTTCCCAGACCCACTGAAAGAGGCGGTCATTAAACCGCTTCTTAAAAAAAAATCTTTAGATCCAGCCAATATGGTCAACTATCGCCCAGTCTCAAATCTACCATTCTTGGGCAAGGTGATTGAGCAGGTGGTTGCTGAACAACTCCAAGCACGCCTGGAGGATGCGGACCATTTGGATCCCTTCCAATCGGGATTCAGGTCCCATCATGGTACTGAAACTGTGTTGGTTGTGCTGGTCAATGAACTTCAGCCGGCCAGGGACAGAAGTGAAAGCTGTTTCCTGGTCCTGCTGGATCTCTCAGCGGCCTTTGATCCAATTGAACATGGTATCTTTTTGGACAGTCTTGAGGAGTTGGGAGCTAGGGGCACTGTTATACAGTGGTTCCGCTCCTTTCTGCTGGGCTGTGTTCAGAAAGTGGTGTTGGGGGATGAGTGTTCAGACCCCTTGGCTCTCAGTTGTGGGGTGCTTCAGGGTACTGTCCTCTCTCCCATGCTTTTTAACATCTACATGAAGCCGCTGGGAGAGATCATCAGGGGGTTTTGGCTGGGTGTTCATCAATATGCGGATGATCAGCTCTACCTCTTTCAAATTGGAACCAGTGAAGGCGGTGTAGGTCCTGTGTGAGTGTTTGGAGGTGTTTGGAGGATGGATGGTGGCTAACAAATCGAGGTTGAATCCAGACAAGACAGAAGTACTGTTCTTGGGGGACAGGGGGCGGGCGGGTGTGGGGGTCTCCCTGGTCCTGAATATGGTAACTGTGTCCCTGAAGGACCAGGTGCGCAGCCTGGGAGTCATTTTGGACTCACAGCTGTCCATGGAGGCGCAGGTTAATTCTGTGTCCAGAGCAGCTGTCTATCAGCTCCATATGGTACGCAAGCTGAGACCCTACCTGCCTGCGGACTGTCTCGCCACAGTGGTGCATGCTCTAGTTATCTCCCACTTGGACTACTGCAATGTGCTCTATGTGGGACTACCTTTGAAGGTGACAAAGAAACTGCAATTAATCCATAATGCGGCAGCTAGACTAGTGACTCGGAGTGGCCGCCGGGACCATATAACACCAATCCTGAGAGCATTGGCTCCCAGTACATTTCCGAGCACAATTCAAAGTGTTGGTGCTGACCTTTAAAGCCCTAAATGGCCTCAGTTCTGTATACCTGAAGGAGCATCTCCACCCCCATCGTTCAGCCCGGACAGAGATCCAGCACTAAGGGCCTTCTGGTGGTTCCCTCATTGCGAAAATTGAGGCTACGGGGAACCAGACAGAGGGCCTTCTTGGTAGTGGCACTCGCCCTGTGGAATGCCCTCCCATCAGATGTCAAGGAAATAAGCAGCTATCCTATTTTTTAAAGACCTCTGAAGGCAGCCCTGTTTAGAGAAGTTTTAAATATTTAATGCTGTATTGTTTTTAAACACTTGATTGGGAGCTGCCCAGAGTGGCTGGGGGAAATGGAGCCAGATGGGCGGGGTATAAATAATAAATTATTATTATTATTATTATTCCTCCCACTGGATTGAATGGTAACCATTAATTTCCAAAGAAGAAAGCCAAGGAATGTTCTCAAGAGACAACATAGGGCAGTGATGGCCAAACCTGGCCCTCCAGCTATTTTGGGACTACAACTCTCATCATCCCTAGCTAACAGGACCAGTGGTCAGGGATGATGGGAACTGTAGTCCCAAAACAGCTGGAGGGCTGAGTTTGGCCATCACTGCGACAGGGTGTCTGATGTACTTGGCAATTAATAAGCAATGTACTCTGAGCGTTATTTCTTTATTGATAATATTGTACCGTATTTTTTGCTCCATAAGACGTACTTTTTTCCTCTTAAAAACTAAGGGGAAATGTCTGTGCGTCTTATGGAGCGAATGTGTGGTCCCTGGGGCTGGGGGGGGGGAGACCCGGGCTTCCCCCGTCAGCCCTGACAAGCTCTGGGAGCAGCGGGCAGGTTGCGCGCAGAATGTCCACTGCTCCCTGAGGTGCTCTTTGGGGCGGGGGGGAACCGGGGCTTCCCCCGCCAGCCCCGACAAGCTCGCATGTCATCTCTCTTTTCCTTTTAGTGCCACAGGCCTTTTAGATTCATTCATTTTTAATTATTGCTGGAATTTTTTCTACCATGCTGATTTCTTTGGAAGTTGCATTGTTATGTAAGTGTTGCCATTTTTTTATTGTGTTACTACTACTTCTACTACTACTATTGGGCTTCTTTAACCCCTTGTAAGCCATTCCAGGAGCTTGCTGCTGAATAGTTTGGGTAAGATGCTTCCTAAGAAATGAACAAACAAATCTTTTATGGGGTGCTTTTGTCTAGCGCAGGCATGGTGCGTAAATTGAGAATTCTCATACTGCCTATGACCTTCTGGACAGTTCTGAGCAAAATAAGACTGATGGCCCTGTTGAGGTGGTAGTGGACTAGAAAAGGCCCAATCTGATCACCTTCTGGAGCTAGCCATTATGGACTACTGAAATCAAAATCAGGTGCAGATTAGTAAGTGGCCTGGCTCACATGTCACACTAAGCCAAGCCATGGCTCTCCAGGGTTTCAGACGGGGGTCTCTGCCTAGAGACACTGGAGACTGAACTTGGGACCTTCTCCATGCACAGCACATGCTACAGCCTTTCCATAAGCCAAAGGGTTAAGAATAGGGAGTCACTTACTGTTGCTGCAGGTGAATTGTGTACGTCTTCTTTTTTATTGTAATCATGTAAGTCTGTGTGCTCTGGACAATTCAAAACAAAACAAAACAATCAGTCAGAAGGGTATGTAGAAACAGTATTTTTACAAATGAAATGAACAGTCTCTATTGAAATGTATTTGATGATGGCAGAAAAGCTATGGCAGTGATTCGCTGAGCCTCTTTATCTTTCAGAGAGGCAGTTCAGGACCCAGGGAAAGAAAAGAAGTTTCGCTGACGAAAGAAGGAGGCAGGGGCCTGAGAAGGCATTTGCGGGAGTGGGGGCAGGGGGCTAAACCCTAGAAATAAATGGTAGGGTTTTGATTAGCTGGAGTATTGAAGGGAAGATTGCAGGCCGGTGGAAAAATACAAGCTAAGCTTCCTTTCCCAGCCAAAGCGTCACCTGGGATAGCAAAAGGTGTTGATGGCCCACCTGAGAGGAATCTTTGGCCTGGGCAGATGGAAGGTTGCCAGAGTAACTGCCTGTAAAGTGTCAGGAAAAGAGAGTCTTGAAAGCAAGGAGTGCTGGGAAGAAGAAGGTGGGGAGAATGAAAAGAGAGATCCTAGGCAGGCTGGCTGGGAGAGGTGCATTGGAGTCTAATGCTGCACTGCTGTAGGGGACAAGCTCCTCTTAAAATGACCAAGCTGTAAGGTCTGGACTCTCTCCATGCAGACGGAAGGTGTAAATAGGTGAATAAACCATAGCTTTTATAGTTACAACTCCACAGCCTCTTCAATTCTCCAAAGGACCATAGACCCTGGGTGAACCCCTGGAATCTTCCTACCGCTTGGCAGAGAGTGGGGCTGGCACCCAACTTCTGAAACAGAAATCAAGGCAGCTCAGGCTTAAATGGGGATCTCCTGAGGAATAAGGAAGCCAGGTTGAGAAGCCTGCTAAAAAACTAGGAGAGAGAACAGGCAGAAAGGAGAAGTAATAGTACATTGATTTGAAATAGCCAGTCAGATCTCTGGTTCCAGGTCTAATTAATACTTTGATTAAAAAAAGGATCCCTGCAAAGAGTACATGGACATGTGGGGCTCCTGCAGCAGGTGAGGGAGTGAAAATGATGCTAAACAAAACAGCAGCAATGATTATGATGGGGGAAAGGGGAAACTGTCATTCTAAAATGATATTTAATAATGTTTGCTTTGACCCAAAGATTCTTATGCAGAACTGTAGAGTGCACACATAGCTGTACCTGAGGATCTCTGCTCATTCACTCACCTGGAGGACCTCAGGTGTGGAACACGCACCCTGTTTGTGGGTTTCCCAGAGGTATCTAGTTGACCCCTGTGGGAAACTTAGCAAGACTCTGTTTAACTTCTTAATGTAAAACAACTTACAACACAACCCTCACTATATCTACTCAAAAGTAAATCCAATTAATTCAATGGCACTTACTCCAAGGTAAGTGGGGTTAGGATTTCAGCTTTGCTCAACCAAATGATGTTTCTTGCCTGTGTCTGGGGCCCAGAGAAGCCAATGGGGGGGGGGGAGAGATTTGACTGGAAGGAAATGAAACTCCCCATTTTCTGGTGCTTCAACACAGTTGCTCATGGGTATCACATTGTCACAAGTACAAGGGTAACCATTTTTCCTGAAAAGGAAAAGTTGCATTCAAAGCACAACAGCCTCCTGCCACTCAGAATGAAAATGTGTGGTCACATTCATTTGCTAAATAAATACAGTGGTACCTTGGTTTACGAACTTAATCCGTTCTGGGCGTCCGGAAGTCTTAAGAACGCTGCAAACCCGGAAATAGGTGTTTTGGTTTGTAAACTTTGCCTTGGAAGCAGAAAGCATGCTTTGGTTTAAGAATGCTTTGGTTTCAGCATGCTTTCCCATAGCAGTGGGGGGACTCAATTTACAAATGGAACACACTCAACAGGAAGTGAAACATGTTCTGCTTCCAAGGCAAAGTTCACAAACCAAAACACCTACTTCCGGGTTTGCAGCGTTCTTAATCCAAGTTGTTCATAGACTAAGCTGTTCCTTAAACCAAGGTACCACTGTACAATGGCCCTGACTACAGCTTTTCAAAGACCGTAACATTACAGATTGTTCCAGTTACATAAGGGGTTTGGACTTGTACTCCTTTCACTTCTGTATGCTGTTAATCAGTTGGGTGGAGAACATGTTGATGTCATGTAACAAACAGTGGGGGAGCTTCATGCTCTGGCACCAGGGGCGGAGAGCAGGCGGGGCGCTCAGCACGGGCAGCCACTATGTCACCCTGGGGATTGCGCTGCCAGGGGCGGGGTGCTTCCCCCACACTCCTCTTCCTCTGCCAGTGGTGACAAAGGTATTTGAGAGCAGAAATAGTAAAGGAGTCTAGAAATGTTGTGATATGCTGAAAAGCTGCAGAATCATTTAGCATGCTGAATCACTGTGACTCATCTTGAGGATGACACGTTCTCTGTACATATAAGTATTGTATCTGCTTGCAGGCAGACTCAGTCAGTGTGTGTGTGTGTGTGTGTCTGTGTGTGAAAGTGGAGCCTGTGCTCTGTGAAGCCTGTGCTCAATGGAGACTCCGTGTGACTCAGTAACTCTGTGTATGCTCTGAAGCTAGTTTAATCTTCTGTTCACTATGCTGTTGTTTACAAACAAATTTATTTTATCTCAGTAATGCTTTTATTCTTTTACTGAAGAAGACTCTGCATTATTAATTTACACTGTGCGTCAGCTGATGTTGGATGAATTAAGAACCCCTCCCTTTGACTTTGGGAATATGGGGATAGATTGCTCTAACTTGCCAGAAACATTTGGAAGAGACCAACAAGTGTTATGCTTCCTCTAAACCACATACAGCATCGTGAATACAATGAAAATGGTCCTGTTGATAACACTCTTCATCTCAGGGGTTTGTATGATGATGGAACAGGTGGATGGCTGCTTGAAATTCTCTGGGTGGGTGGGAAGAGTTCCCTTACACAAGGCCACAGGTGCCAACTTGAATAAAATATGATGGGGGGGGGCAGATAAGCCCTGCTTGTCAGGAGACAAACTCACAAAAGTGACTCACACAAAAGCAGTAGAGGTGGAGCCCTCCGCCTCAAACTTTTAAAGGAACCTTTTCAAATGCTAGAGTCAAGTATGCCTCCAGTTTTAACTTGGAGAAAAGCATGCGTCAGCAAGCTTGGGAAATCACTGTGCAAAATATAATCCACTGAGTAGGCGTTTACTCCATAGCACAAACTTTTGAATAAGTATGTTTCTTAATTCCAAATACCTCATCTGGACCTAGACCATCTTCAGTCATGTTGGATGGAATTTTCTTTGGATAAGTGATATGCAAAAAGGTTTGACAATCTGGAGAAAAAGAAAAATGCTAAGAAGTTAATTACCATTTAATTTCAACAAGGCACAAATGTCACAGCACCTTAAGACACCTAAGAATTACATCCAATCACATTCAGTTGCACATTCTGAATTTGCTGGGAAGTGGCTGAATCCCACCTGAAAACAGTGAGTATGGAAACACCCTTAATGATATGTGGCAGGTTACACTCAAAACAAACCAGCCTGGAGATTAGATTGCAGCCTGCTTGTGTTGCAAAAATCAATGTTTGGGGCTGAAAGAAAAACTCAAGCAGCAAAAGAGGAAAACAAAGGGTTTCATTTTGCAAGCCAGCAAAATAGGCAGCAGAGGAATAAACTCCAAAGTCTGCGCCCAACCGCTAAAAGGGGGGGGGACTTAATATACATTTCTGTTATCTCCTAAGGCAATGCATACGCATAAACTGAGGCAACGTCTCCTATCCTAGGCTACATCGCCCTATTAGCATACAATTATGGTTTTTCCTTAATGAATATACATTGAGCAAGCGAACAAAGAACTCTCTCTAAGCAGCACCTTGCTGCATGTGATCTCTTTGCATTCCATTCTATATGCCTGAGAGGGTATGCCTGAGAGAACAGGGCCTCTAAGAATGTGTATCCGGGAGATACAAGGATGCAAGGCTGTCCATGGTACAATAAGAACAAAGACAGCTCCTGTCCCTGTGGAGACAGAAAATCATCCCTTTCTTATGTAGACACCTTTGGAATGTAGACACTTTATCACAAGATAAAGCACTTTTATAGAAACAATAGGAACAAGGCCGCTCCTTAAACGCAAATAGAGAGGCCTAGCCTGGTTAGTTCCCCTTCATGGATCACTGCCTTGCCGTGGCGAAGGGGCTTGAAGAACTCAGAGAAGCTATGAACTACGCCGAGCAGGGCACACAAGATGAACAGGTCATAGTAGAGAGTTTCGACCAAACGTGATCCACCTGGAGGAGGAACCGGCAAGCCACTCCAGTATCCTTGCCAAGAAAACTGCATGGACAAAGACAACAGGCATATAAAAGTTATGACGCTGGAAGATAAGCCCCTCAGGTCGGAAGGCGTCCAACATGCTACTGGGGAAGAGCGGAGGGCAAGTACAAGTAGATCCAGAGCTGATGAAGCAGCTGGGCCAAAGCCGAAAGGACGCTCAGTTGCGGATATGCCTGGAAGCGAAAGGAAAGTCCAATGCTGTAAAGAAAAATATTGCATAGGAACCTGGAATGTAAAAACCATGAACCTGGTAAGTTGGAGGTGGTCAAAAATGAGATGGCAAGAATAAATATTGACATCCTGGGCATCAGTGAACTAAAATGGACGGGAATGGGCGAATTCAGTTCGGATGACCATCACATCTACTACTGTGGGCAAGAAACCCGTAAAAGAAATGGAGTGGCCCTCATAGTCAACAAAAGAGTGGCGAAAGCTGTACTGGGATGCAATCTCAAAAATGATAGAATGATCTCGATACGAATCCAAGGCAGACCTTTTAACATCACAGTAATCCAAGTTTATGCACCAACTACTGGTGCTTAAGAAACTGAAATTGACCAATTCTATGAAGACTTACAACACCTTATAGAAGTGACACCAAAGAAGGATGTTCTTCTCATTATAGGGGATTGGAATGCTAAAGTAGGGAGGCTAGGATATGTAATTCGGCTGGACCAATGGGAGAAATTATGGAAATATGATATTAAATTCACGACATGTTATACAATAAGAGAAAATTTTATGAAAATGGTGTACCAATGGTACTTAACTCCAGTAAAATTGGCTAAAATTTACAAATTAAAATCGAATACCTGTTGGAGATGTAAAAAAGAAATAGGAACAATGTTTCACATGTGGTGGGAATGCTGACCTATTAAACAATTCTGGAATGAAATCTATGAAGAACTTAAAAAGATGTTTAAAATATCTTTCAGAAAAAACCCGGAGGCATTCCTTTTAGGTTAAATTACAAATGATATCCCTGAAAATCAAAGGAAAGTATTCCTTTATGCAACAACAGCTGCCAGGATGCTTATAGCTAAAAACTGGAAAGGCAGAAAAATTCCATCAGTGAAAGATTGGCAAATTAAATTTTGTGAATACATAAATCTGGCAAGACTCACAGCTTACATAAGGGGACAATCGGACCAGAAATTATTAAAAGAATGGGGTTGTGCTAAAGAGTATATGAAAGAACATTGTTCTGGAGTTAGTATATTGGTATGTAATGAATGATGCTTTACAGGGTTAAAGAAAAAGAAAAATGGTGTTGTCAGAGCTGCCCTAGGTCCCAGCTCACAAAGGACCAACGCCAGTTCGTTGTTATATAAAACAGTCTTTATTGAAGCTCAGTTTCTTTTTCACAGCCGCGGGGCGCAGCTCTACGTCTCAAACTCTAGACCGCCGAAGCTCCGTCTGAGTCTCCTCCCCCAGACACCAGTTTAAGACTCTAGCCTTGCTCCACCTCTTCCTCTGCTCTCTTCTCCTCTGGGCCCGCCTGTCCGCTGGGGTCTCGCCTCTCCTAGACTCTTCTGACGCTGAGTCTCCTGAGTCCTCCCCCTCCCTCCGGCGGGCTTTAGGACCTGGTTCCCCATCCGGGTTTCCTGCTGTGCCGCGCGCCTGTACATTCGAACTTGGCGCGCGCGCGCCCAGCCGGCCACCTTCCTCCTGACCGTTACACTGCTCCTGTCACTGCTTCCCCCTTCGGGGAGGCTAGCTGCACCTGACTCTCCCTCCGTTCCCTCACTCTGCGATGGAGGCGTGGCCACCCCTGACTCATGCTCTCTCCCTGCTGGAGGAGAAGCTGGCCCTGATACATGTGACTCTTCCCCCTCACTACGCTCTGGTGGAGGAGCTGGTCCTGCTCTCCCGCTGCTGCTTTGGGAGTCCCCGCTGGCCCCTTGCTTCTGGTGTGTCCCCCCTGGGACCCCCCTTGCCCTGGCCATCGGCGCCCCCCTCTGGGAATCTTCTGATTCGCTGGAGAGACTCCTGGAATCTCTCGGGCCACTTTCATACTCCCCTACGCTGCCCTCAGATTCTTCCCCTTCGCTCTCCATCCCCTCTCTCCCCTGTGCCTCTGCTCCTGAGCCCCTGACAGGTGTAAAAAAAAAAAAAGTACCAAGGTGGAAGTAATCTAATTGGACACAACAATACAGTAAGAGTAAATTTTTTGAGGTCTTAGAACAAAGAAAGGAAGTCAATTTGTGTTTATGTTCGTAATGATATGGGGTTTTTTTTTCTGTAGATGTGTGCTTGTTCGTTTTTGTTTAGTTTAGTTTTGTTTCCTTTGCTTTTTTTTTTCCTTTTCTGTTTTTCCCCCTATATGTTCCGGGGATTTTTGTTTGTATAGTATTATTTTGGATTCAATGTTTGTAATTTTTGTTATGATTCTGCATTGAAAATAAAAAAAATTCCAAAAAAAAGTAGGGAGGCAAGAGATAAAAGGAACAACTGGCAAGTTTGGCCTTGGAGATCAAAACGAAGCAGGGCAAAGGCTAATAGAGTTCTGTCAAGAGAACAAGCTGGTCATCACAAACACGCTTTTCCAACAACACAAGAGACGACTCTACACATGGACATCACCAGATGGGCAGCATCGAAATCAGATTGATTATATTCTCTGCAGCCAAAGATGGAGAAGCTCTATACAGTCAGCAAAAACAAGACCTGGAGCTGACTGTGGCTCAGATCATCAGCTTCTTATAGCAAAATTCCAGCTTAAACTGAAGAAAGCAGGAAAAACCACTGGGCCGGTAAGATACAATCTAAGTCAAATCCCTTATGAATACACAGTGGAAGTGAGGAACAGGTTTAAGGATTTAGATTTGGTGGACAGAGTGCCTGAAGAACTATGGATGGAGGCTCGTAACATTGTACAGGAGGCAGCAACGAAAACCATCCCAATGAAAAGGAAATGCAAGAAAGCAAAGTGGCTGTCCAACGAGGCCTTACAAATAGCGGAGGAGAGAAGGCAAGCAAAATGCGAGGGAGATAGTGAAAGATACAGGAAATTGAATGCAGATTTCCAAAGAATAGCAAGGAGAGACAAGAAGGCCTTCTTAAACGAGCAATGCAAACAGAGGAAAACAACAGAATGGGAAGAACCAGAGATCTGTTCAAGAAAAATGTAGATATGAAAGGAACATTTCGTACAAAGATTACCACAATAAAGGACAAAAGTGGTAAGGACCTAACAGAAGCAGAAGACATCAAGAAGAGGTGGCAAGAATACACAGAGGAATTATACCAGAAAGATATGGATGTCTCGTACACCTCAGGTAGTGTGGTTGCTGACCTTGAGCCAGACATCCTGGAGAGTGAAGTCAAATGGGCCTTAGAAAGCACTGCAAATAACAAGGCCAGTGGAAGTGATGGTATTCCAGCAGAACTATTTAAAATTTTTAAAGATGATGCTGTTAAGGTGCTACACTCAATATGCCAGCAAATTTGGAAAACTCAGCAGTGGCCAGAAGATTGGAGATCAGTCTACATCCCAGTCCCAAAGAAGGGCAGTGCCAAAGAATGCTCCAACTACCGCACAATTGCACTCATTTCACACGCTAGCAAGGTTATGCTTAAAATTCTACAAGGAAGGCTCAAGCAGTATGTGGATCGAAAACTCCCAGAAGTGCAAGCTGGATTTAGAAGAGGCAGAGGAACCAGAGACCAAATTGCAAACATGCGCTGGATTATGGAGAAAGCTAGAGAGTTCCAGAAAGACATCTACTTCTGCTTCATTGACTATGCAAAAGCCTTTGACTGTGTCGACCACAGCAAACTATGGCAAGTTCTTAAAGAAATGGGAGTGCCTGATCACCTCATCTGTCTCCTGAGAAATCTCTATGTGGGACAAGAAGCTACAGTTAGAACTGGATATGGAACAACTGATTGGTTCAAAATTGGGAAAGGAGTACGACAGGGCTGTATTTTGTCTCCCTGCTTATTTAATTTATATGCAGAATACATCATGTGAAAGGCTGGGCTGGATGAATCCCAAGCTGGAATTAAGATTGCCGGAAGAAATATCAACAACCTCAGATATGCAGATGACACAACCTTGATGGCAGAAAGTGAGGAGGAATTAAATAACCTTTTAATGAGGGTGAAAGAGGAGAGCGCAAAATATTGTCTGAAGCTCAACATCAAAAAAACGAAGGTCATGGCAACTGGTCCCATCACCTCCTGGCAAATAGAAGGGGAAGAAATGGAGGCAGTGAGAGATTTTACTTTCTTGGGCTCCATGATCACTGCAGATGGTGACAGCAGCCACGAATTTAAAAGACGCCTGCTTCTTGGGAGAAGGGCAATGACAGGCCTAGACAGCATCTTGAGAAGTAGAGACGTCACCTTGCCAACAAAGGTCCGTATAGTTAAAGCCATGGTTTTCCCAGTAGTGATGTATGGAAGTGAGAGCTGGACCATCAAGAAGGCTGATCGCCGAAGAATTGATGCTTTTGAATTATGGTGCTGGAGAAGACTCTTGAGAGTCCCATGGACTGCAAGAAGATCAAACGCATCCATTCTTAAGGAAATCAGCCCTGAGTGCTCACTGGAAGGACAGATCGTGAAGCTGAGGCTCCAGTACTTTGGCCACCTCATGAGAAGAGAAGACTCCCTGGAGAAGACACTGATGCTGGGAAAGATGGAGGGCACAAGGAGAAGGGGGCGACAGAGGACGAGATGGTTGGATAGTGTTTTCGAGGTTACCAGCATGAGTTTGACCAAACTGCGGGAAGTAGTGGAGGACAGTGGTGCCTGGCGTGCTCTGGTCCATGGGGTCACGAAGAGTCGGACACGACTAAACGACTAAACAACAACAACAGCCTGGTTAGTTAGCTGAGCTTATAGGTCTCTATGTGGATCACCTGGGAACAGGGGGCTGCCTCTCTAAGAAATTCTATATACATTGACGTCATATAAATTAGGATTGCTAACCAAATAGAGATGTAGGAAAGACAAACTCTTGTGCCTTTATCTGTACCTTTCTTCTTTCTTTCTTTCTTCCATCCCCCCCCCATTTATTAAATTCTTACAACATATAATGACATTGTACACGAGTAATAAAATATCCCACCCTAACAAAAGGAGTTACCGACCCTTGAAGAGTGGAGAATGAAACTTATGGATTATGCAGAACTGGACAAATTGACTGGGAAGATTAGATATTAACGGGATCACAAGTTCATCGAGGACTGGGGAAAGTTTACAGATTATCTGAAAAGCATATGTGACGAACAGACAACGCTAGTGGGATTTAAAGAGGCTTTGTGAAAGTTAAAGATGCATTGTAAAAAAGAAATAGAACTGAAAGGATAACATTAAATGGCAATATTAAATTTAGAGAATGCACAAAAATAGAAAATATGGATGATTGGTGGAGAAGCTGGTGGAAGTCCAAAAAGCTGAAATTTGTGAATATTGTTTGAGATGGCGAATTTGTAAAAGGAAAAATTTAATAAAAATTATTATATATATATAAAAATATCCCACCCTAAACCAGAAGGTAATACATCCAAAATAACATCCAAATAATACAATAAGTTCTTATCCCAGACTACCATTTGTATAGAAAGCAATAAACAGTCCATTAACCAAAAAGTTTTAGACTGTTTTCATTTCTAGTCATATGCATAAAAAAGCTGTACCAATCTGTTACAAGAGTATTTATGTTTCAAACCTTATGCCAATTTTATTCATTAGTCAATTTCCCCACAAGTGCTATTTGCCATATTTTATTGTACTAATTTGCCAGAGATGCACCCTACAACTTATTCTAGTATCTCATTATGAGCGACTATTAAAAGAGAACTTAGAGGTTTGAGCAGTACATTAATATCATCGCCCATGAGAAGACTGAGCAGCATCAGCTCTGGAGATTTTGAGACAATTTGAGATTGCTTTTATTTTAACAAATACTTTCCTCCCAGAACTTTCCCACCTCAAATATATGTTGATATGAGCTTAACTTCCTGCAACAGCTTGGTGAGCAGGAAGAACAAAAATGGGCTGATTGTATTGGTGTGAGATACCATTTTTGCACTATTTTAAGTACTACTTCTATGGGACGTGGGTGGCGCTGTGGGTTAAACCACAGAGCCTAGGACTTGCCGATCAGAAGGTTGGAGGTTTGAATCCCCGCGACGGGGTGAGCTCCCGTTGCTCGGTCCCTGCTCCTGCCAACCTAGCAGTTCAAAAGCACGTCAAAGTGCAAGTAGATAAATAGGTAAACGGCGTTTACCTTACCTCCGGCGGAAAGGTAAATGGCATTTCCGTGAGTTGCTCTGGTTTCGCCAGAAGCGGCTTAGTCATGCTGGCCACATGACCCGGAAACTGTACGCTGGCTCCCTCGGCCAATAAAGCGAGATGAGCGCCGCAACTCCAGAGTCGTCCGCGACTGGACCTAATGGTCAGGGGTCCCTTTACCTTTACTAAGTGCTACTTCTAAGTGCTTAAGGGAGAAGGGCCCTGGGCCAGGGGTAGTTTTAATCTCTGACATATCCAGGTAGGATTGGGAGAGATTCTTCCCTGAAATCCTGAAGAGCTACTGCCAGTCAGTGTGGACAATACTGAACTAGATGGACCAATGGTTTGACTCTGTTAAGGCAGCTTCCTAGGTTCCTATGTTTCAAGGCAGAGCCAGATTTTAAAGGACATTTCCTCCACACTGAGGTCGACACCTCTTCCTAGATAGTAATCTGACAACTGGGTACCCACATCTGCCTTAAACCGTCTGCTGTACCCATCTCTATTAGGATGTGTTCCGTGTTCTGTGTGGGGCTTCCCTCGGGACTGAGCTGGAAGCTGCCGTGAGGGCAGAATTCTGCAGCGCGATTGCCGACAGGGGGGAGGCCTGCGCTCAGAGATCGGCACTGGCTGCTGATCTGCTCCCAGGCCAAGATCAAGGCCTTGCCCCACTTGTGCCCAGGGGGCCGCTTTGACGGGTGGGCTTGGGCCCACATCTTGCTCAGCTCCTGATCCTTTCCTCTCGAGATCAAGCAGGCGCCTGCACAAAGCCTTCCTGCTCAGAGACGCTTGGAAAGCTGAGGCAATCCGTTTCAGTATTTTAACTTTTGTATGTTTTAAAGCAGGGTTGTGACATCTTCTCAGGGTTATCTTTTTGTAAACCGCGTTGAGGGTTTTTAAACAATCAGGCACCGTATTCATTTTATGATGGACAGCTAGGTGCCCGGGCCTTTCTCAACCTGGGGTCCCCAGGTGTTTCTGGACTACAACTCCCACCATTCCCTAGCTAGCAGCCTAGAGGACAGGGATGGTGGAAGTTGTAGTCCAGCGACGCCTGGAGGCCCCTAACTTGATAAAGGCTGCCTGGTTCAGACGCTACTTGGGCTTGTCCCACAAATAAAGATCGTGGGAGAACTGCTGCCCGTCCGGGTAGGGGGACGGGGCGCGCGTGTGAGGGAGCCAGGGACGGGCCTTTCACTCACCGAGGCCCGCGGCGAAGAGGAGCAGCGCCGCCGCCGCCTCCAACAGCTTCATGGCGACGCGGCTGTCCAGCGCCCTCTCCGCTTCGCTCTAACGGTCTCGCCTGGAACGGAGAGCCGCGCGGGGAGGAGGGCTAGGAATCCTCCGGCTCGGAGGGCGAAGCGCCGGGGCCCCGCTGGGCTTTGAGGTCCATTCCCCTCGCTCGCGCACACGGGTCTTTTCTGCCAACCCCGACCTGCAAGAATGCGGGCCGACGCCGCGGGGCCCATGTCGAAAGAGACCAGGTGACCACCCGACACGCGTCTTCTTCCTTGACTGGAGTTCCGTGGGGTTGACTCCCGTGCCCATCAAGGGGGCCCGGATGCAAGAGGGAATAGCTAAACAGTAGTATTTCAGTATTTTATTATTGCAAGCCACCCCAAGAACTTTTGCATGGCGTATAAATGTTCATAATAAAACCAACTAGGAGTACCACTCCAACTGAGGGAAGCATCACGCACGCAAAGCAGATAGATAGATAGATATTCCCATTTAGACCAAATAGCTACATTCCTATTGGGGAAGATGGCGACTGGGTCCTCCTGGTGCCAAGTCCAGACCTTCTCTACTTGTCCTTCTTGCCATTGTCTTTAAACCAGGCAGGCACTGCAAAGCCTTTCACATACTGTCAGAGCTGCCCTAGGTCCCAGCTCACAAAGGACCAACGCCAGTTCGTTGTTATATAAAACAGTCTTTATTGAAGCTCAAGTTTCTTTTTCACAGCCGCGGGGCGCAGCTCTACGTCTCAAACTCTAGACCGCCGAAGCTCCGTCTGAATCTCCTCCCCCCAGACACCAGTTTAAGACTCTAGCCTTGCTCCACCTCTTCCTCTGCTCTCTTCTCCTCTGGGCCCGCCTGTCCGCTGGGGTCTCGCCTCTCCTAGACTCTTCTGACGCTGAGTCCCCTGAGTCTTCCCCCTGCCTCCGGCGGGCTTTAGGACCTGGTTCCCCATCCGGGTTTCCTGCTGTGCCGCGCGCCTGTACATTCGAACTTGGCGCGTGCGCCCAGCCTGCCACCTTCCTCCTGACCGTTACACTGCTCCTGTCACTGCTTCCCCCTTCGGGGAGGCTAGCTGCACCTGACTCTCCCTCCGTTCCCTCACTCTGCGATGGAGGCGTGGCCACCCCTGACTCATGCTCTCTCCCTGCTGGAGGAGAAGCTGGCCCTGATACATGTGACTCTTCCCCCTCACTACGCTCTGGTGGAGGAGCTGGTCCTGCTCTCCCGCTGCTGCTTTGGGAGTCCCCGCTGGCCCCTTGCTTCTGGTGTGTCCCCCCTGGGACCCCCCTTGCCCTGGCCATCGGCGCCCCCCTCTGGGAATCTTCTGATTCGCTGGAGAGACTCATGGAATCTCTCGGGCCACTTTCATACTCCCCTATGCTGCCCTCAGATTCTTCCCCTTCGCTCTCCATCCCCTCTCTCCCCTGTGTCTCTGCTCCTGAGCCCCTGACACATACGTTGGTACTTTGGTTACAAACTTAATCCACTCCCGAAGTCCGTTCTTAAAACAAAGCGTTCTTAAACCAAGGCGTGTTTTCCCATAGCAGTGGGGGACTCAATTTAAAAATGGAACACACTCAACAGGAAGCGAAACATGTTCTGCTCCCAAGGCAAAGTTCACAAAGCGAAACACCTACTTATGGGTTTGCAGCGTTCTTAATCCAAGTTGTTCATAAACTAAGCTGTTCGTAAACCAAGGTACCACTGTACTCCACAATGAAGCACACTCCCACACCCCCAATTTAAGTTTACTCAAAAGCAAATCTGAGTTCAGCTCCCCGTTACAGTGGTACCTCAGGTTACAGATGCTTCAGGTTACAGACGCTTCAGGTTACAGACTCCTCTAACCCAGAAACAGTACCTCGGGTTAAGAACTTTGCTTCAGGATGAGAACAGAAATCGTTTGGCGGCAGTGCAGCAGCAGGAGGCCCCATTAGCTAAAGTGGTACCTCAGGTTAAGAACAGTTTCAGGTTAAGAACGGACCTCCAGAACGAATTAAGTTCTTAACCTGAGGTACCACTATATACCAATAAAGTGTTTTGAGCACACAAGAAATGTGTATATGTTATTGAGTAGGATTGTGTCAACCTTTCCCATCCACCAGCAAATTTGTAGCTGGTTTCCAGACCAGAACAGTAAAAACTTATTGGTAAGTATACAGTTTTGCAAATATCTGGGAGACCACAATAGTTCAAGTATTTTATTATTGCAACTGCAGACATATATTTATATAAGAATATATGCAAACACTGTTAAAGACTTCTTTTTTGGCGAGAATTATGAAGAAATTTATCAAACAAGCATATGCTGAATATCTGCCGCCATGTGGGAATAATTCTTAGCATAATTTAATACAAAGTGTTTCATTCTCTGAAGCTATTATAGCAGACATGTCTGTAATGGTCCTTGCACATTATGAAATTCTATGATTCTATGAACAATATACTATCTAAGCATAGCACACAGGGAAATCCTGCCACCTCAGCTAATCTTAATCTACAGCTCCCAGTCTAAAATAATCTCTTTAGCAGGTACATCTTTAAAAAATCTGGCTTAATCAACGGTGCAAAGATGGATGCAATTCAATCCAACAAGATTTAGCCAATGTAAACATCCTGACTGACACGAAAAGCAACATAAAAAAGAAAAAGTGATGAAATATACGTACAGTATACTGAATTCTTCAGCAGGCTGCTAGGGTTTAAAGTGCTCATAACAGTTTCAATGGGCTTAAATAAAAATGGATTTTGCACCAGGGCTGGTGCTCTCACACTAAAGATGTTGCAGCAAGTGTGCTGAGTTGAAGTGTGTGCAAAGTAGCTGGAAAGTGCATACTGACTTTGCAGGTTAATATGCACAGTCAGCAGTTATGATCACATTCCCAACAGCAAACACACACACACACACACACACACACACAAATGAGAAACATCAGCAGCTCTTAGTAGTAGCTTGCATGTGTGTCTGAAGGCCACATTGGAAATACATCACTAGAACTAGATGGAAGAGTTGCCACTAATTTGCATGTCATTAGCAGTATCTGCATAGCATCTTCCTGAGTCTGACAAATGCCAAACTGTAGAAGCAGCAGGATTGCTGGTAATGGTGGAAGAACCTGTGGCATCTCTGCACTAGCCCACAGAGATGTTTTGGTAGGCAGATACCAAAGATGTATGAATCAACATACATTGAATCTGTGCTTTTGCCATCACATACTCAAGCATCTCTCTGCATTTCAATTAATGTTTTGTTTTTAATTTAAAAGCTAGAATACTTGGACTCAAGAAAATTCATGAGAGCTAAATATAAGTGCTTTGTGAACTGTGAGCAGCCCACTCCCCAGCCTAGTCCCCAAAAAGTGACTTTCTCGTACCTTTGTTTTGAATAACCATTAGTGGTAAATTAGAAAAAATTATTCCTTAACCTCAAATTGTTAAGTAAAACGTTCCTAACATCATTTTTTTTTTATTATCTACAGTTTAGTGTCAGCCAGCGCACAGTTCAAACTGTCTATGTTTTAAAATGTGTTAATAATAAACATCGAGACGCACTATTAAAACATATAAACATGCTAACAATACATTTCATCTTCTCGCAATAAGTAGATTAAGGCTGCAATCCTACACTCACCTACCAGGGAGTAAATCCCAGTTGGCTTACTTCCAGATAACTGTGTCTAGGATGGTGCTGTGTGGCTGCCATCCTAGACACTTTTATCGGGAAGTATGTCTCACTGAACTCAATCGGGGGGGGGGGTGTTCTCCACCAATTGGGATTTTTCTTGGTGTTTCCTTTTAGTTACGTGCACACAAATAACGAACTTCAGTCCAACATGAGTTTTGACTTTTTGTGTACAGGTTCCCACACATAACAACCTGAAGCTATTGATGTTCATAGAAAGGTGCTGGTCTGATTTGAACTGCAATTCTTAACACCTGCCTCTACACAACTACAGGTCGGGATGGCCCACCCGTGAGGCAAGGTGAAGCAGCCACCTCGGGCAGCAGGATCCACTGGGGGAGCAGATTCTGATGTGGATCTTTCCTCCCACCTTCCTTGTTCCTGATGTAGATCTTCCCTCAACCCTTCTTCCCTGGCGGGGAGGGGAGTGGTATTTTGGGGTCTGCCTCAGGAGCCAAAATGTCTTGAGATGGCCCTGACTATAGGTGAAGACAGATGTAACATTTAAAAAGAAAACTCAATCATAGTGTGAGCTTGGCTTCTTCTCAGCTTTGCAGTTGAATGACTCATACACATGCCAGTTCAGCTGCCATGCTTCAGGCTGCCCTTTTCTGTTTTTAAAAGGGCAAGATACAAGCTTATATATGTCCATTGCTAGTCTTAGTCATTTTTTTAAAGCAGAATTTTTTACAAGCGCAAAATTGCTCCAGATTTTGGAGGTGGGCTTTTGGGGGCCATCATAAGTTCCGCCATTCAGTGCTAACCATAAGCTGGTCTCTGTTGCAAACGCAGAACCGCCTTTCTTCAATATATGAGTCTTTTTTGAAAAATATCGATTTAGATTAAAAACAGTAACATTTCCTAATTGATCCTAATTGATTTTCTACTATCTCTAATAATGTTATGTCTGTCTTCACTTAATGTTTTGTTCTCTATAAAAACAGCCTGGGAGGGGAACCCCACATACCATGTATGATTAAATATAACCCTAAAAAGGGGGAAAGTACAGTTAACACCCAGAAAGCGACCCACTTCTCCAGCAATGTCGCCCAACCGCAGCACAGAGAGTTTTCACAGGGTTTCAGTTCCCGGAGCTTTGGTAGAGGTATTTGCTTGTTAAGTTTACATTCCTTGGTATTGCATTTTGTTCCATTTCTTAGCCAGTGCTGGGGGGGAAACAAAAGGTTTCAAGGGCCACTTTATGCAAGACAGGCTCTGGCTCTGCGAACAGGGTGGGTTGTGAAGGAAAAATCGGCAGTTTTATACAGGAGGCAGTGGTGCAGGTCGAGAAGGGTAAATTGGTTCCTGAGTTTTTGCAGTCTTCAGCACAGGGGGTGGAGGCCTGCAACAAAGGATGAAGGGTCAAATGTCAGCCTGTTTGTTGACTTATCTGCCTTTTCATCAATTCTGTTTGAATCGGCCTTCCCCAAATTGGTGCCCTCCAGCCAGTGCTGGCTGGGGCTGATAGGAGTTGTAGTCCAAAGCATCCAAAGGACCCCAGGTTGTGGGAGGCTGGTTTAAATAAATATGCATGAAACATGTTCCCAGCATTCATTTTTCCCAAGTGCTGATTCAGGGATGGGAGAACTGTGTTTCTCCATAGGTTTGTGGACTACAGGAGTGTATGAGGTGTTAGGGGAGGTGTAGAACCTCTGGTCCCCTTCATGGATCACTGCCTTGTTGTGGCAAAGGGGCTTGAATAACTCCAAGAAGCTGTGAGCCATGCCGTGCAGGGCCACCCAAGACGGACAGATCATAGCCGAGAGTTTAGACTAAATGTGATCCACCTGGAGAAGGAACTGGCAATCCACTCCAGTATTTTGCCAAGAAAACTCCGTGGACATAAAAAAGGAGAAGCTTTGAGAAGAAAGTAAGAGTTTCCAAGGCATGCTCTGGTTCATGGGGTCATGGAGAGTCGAACACAACTAAGACGACTAAACAACAAAAGAACCTCTGGTGAGAGACACGTCATGCTCCTTCTAGGGTAGTTTGTCCACCTTTGACCCCACTCAGCTCTCACCTGTGGCTCCTAGAAACTGTCAGCATGTGACAGCAGCCACCCCCCTGGGAAACAGCTTCAATTGGCCAGCTAAACCAGGTGAGGGTAGCCAGTGGGTCTCAAACCTTTGGTGAGTTAGGGTCTTCTGCTGTCTGTGAAGACAGGCTCCAGCAGATTGAGCAGACAAGACCAATAGTGGGTTTAATCTTCAAGAGAGGATTTACACACATTGCTGTAGAGAGAAATGAGGGGCAGATGGGCCTCATCCACCTGCGAAAGAAGCCCATCTAGGAGAAGAACCACTTTGATCCCAAGCCTACGCTGCATTGTGGAACATCTTCAGAAGAACAAAAGGCTAAGGAGTAAACTCTACACAAATTCAGAGTGGAGTCCCTAAGGCAGTTGGATGGCATCTTATACGCCTCCTTTGGGCAACTCCTGCAGCCCAGCTGGGCTAAACGTCTTGCTCGGCTTTCCTTTGGTCCACATCAGAAAGGCCAAGAGGGGGGGGTCTTGTCATCTGGGCAGCCCAGGACCTCCATACACACTGCCCAAGCTTGCACCTCAGAGAGGTCTCTTTGGTGCTGCTAATGCAGCGAAAATAATGTGATTTGACCTAACCCTTGGAGGCGTACTCACTTATCTCCTGAGACAGACAGAAGACACACAGGTGGACTACAACTCTCATCAATCACAGCCAGTGTGGGCAGCAATGATCGGAGTTGGACCAGGGCAGGGGTGCGTGGACACAATACTGAACCTAATCATGCTTTATCAGACCTAATATCTGAACTAGCCAATGTGCAAACAAACTATATTTATTATTATTGATCACAATTGTATTGCTTCCTTCCTCCAAAGGAGCCCCGGGCAACTTATATGAAGTGATGCCTTTTGATCCTCATAACCTTGCAATATTATGCAGAGAGTTAATTGACTGGCCTAGGGTGGCACAGTGAGCTTTGAAGCTGAATCAGGATTGGAATTCTGCTCCAAGCCCAGTCCCTTGAGCTGCTTCTAGCTCTCACACAAGAAAAACTATAACCCAGAACCACAAGCTGTGACTTTCTCTGCATTGCCGCTACCAACCTCATTGGGATGCAGTGCTGCTCCATGGATGGCCCCATGGCTGTCGGAGAGGGAAGGGGAGAAGTGTAGTGATAAGTGTCACAATACGGTTGCAGATTAGCTGTGTACGCTGGCACAGGGTATCTATTTGCTTGTGTGCTCTGCAAGGAAACCAGTGTAAGCAAAGGTTATTTTTAAAATATAATGTTCACTAGTGAGGATTCTGTTAAGTGGCATGAGTTGATGGTACCCAGAAATAGCCACACACTTCATTTTCAGAGTCCTTCAGTAAAACACAGCAAGCGTTACAGCTGTGGCACTGGCGGAGGAAGGGGGGTGCGGTGGGTGCAGCCCGCCCCGAGTGTCATCCCTGAGGGGGGTGACATTGCCATCCCACCCCCAGGACACTTGCCACGGGCGGCGCCCCCCGGGACCTGGGTGCCAGAGCAGCTAACACCGCCTCTGCTTGGTGGCAAAACACATGTGCAGGGAAAGTAGGTTAATTCCTGCCCAGAACCCTGAAAAGCCACTGTCAGCCATTGCATATTTATTTTTATTTTAAAAAGTGTATACAGTGGTACCTCGGGTTAAGTACTTAATTCGTTCCAGAGGTCCGTACTTAACCTGAAACTGTTCTTAACCTGAAGCACCACTTTAGCTAATGGGGCCTCCTGCTGCTGCCACGCTGCCGGAGCACGATTTCTGTTCTCATCCTGAAGCAAAGTTCTTAACCTGAAGCACTTTTTCTGGGTTAGCGGAGTATGTAACCTGAAGCGCATGTAACCTGAAGCATATGTAACCCAAGGTACCACTGTATACCAAATGAATGTAGTAGGACCTCTAAGCAGTTCACAAGATGATCAATAAAAAATGATCAATAAAAACAACTATGTGAATACAATTAAAATTAACAGTATTTTTAAAAAAATACAACAACAGGTAAATATCTTGCAATCTAGATAGGCTTGCCTAAACAAAAATGTTTTAAGTAGGTGCCAGAAAGAGTACAGCAAACATGCCTGCCTGGTGTCAATGGTGTAGGTGCTGTCACACTAAAAGATTGATTCCTTACAACTGCAGAAGGAGTGTTCTGTGGCACCTGAAACAGAGCCAGTTCCACAGACCAAAGCAGTAGAGCATAAGGTGATCCCACAAGTGAACTGGCCCCAAGCCATTAAGGGATAAAACTTGGAATAGATGGACCGGCTTCCTATAGTCCCAAGTATTTTCTGTGTCATTTTCCTCCACCTTGTTCTGACCCACTTCCCAAGGCTGTGTGTGGATCCTCTCCTGTGTTTTTCAAAAGCTCCCTTTCCTTCCATAACAGGCCCAGGCCCCGTCTTGAAGTAAAATTATATCCCAGCTCAAGATTATGATTTGTCCAAGCTGCTTCACATTATTCTGCCTGAAGGACAGCATTCTGCAATGTGACCCCCTCCAGATGTTTTCATCTGCAAGCCACGCTGACATCTCAAACACACCAGATGAGGAAGGACCACTATCCGATGTCATCCTGCCCCCACACTCAGGTCATCAGGCTTTTCTCGTTAAAGCACTTGGCTTCCTTCTCCCAAAGAATCCTGGGGGCTGTAGTTTGTTAAGGAAGCTGGGAATTCTTAGCTGGGAGCATGTAATTGCGGGGAGGGGCAGGCAGGGATTCCCCAATGGAAAATTCTCCAGATTTTCACTGTGTAACAATTCCCAATATTGAGGGAGAGGTAGGGGTGGGAGGGGAGAACCACACCAGCCACTATTTGGACCGGGGCAGAAAGCAGAGAGGCCAGAGCCAATGGCAGGCAGAGCCAACGAATTCCAGTGTTTTTCCCAACTTTCTCCTGCCTGCTGAGTTCTACAAGGGCGACACAGAGAAAGAGGAAGCTGTCAGCCAGGGCCTCTTCCCTCTGGACCAGATGCAAGGAAAAAAGCTGGCATGTGGGAGCTGGCTGAGGTTGGTGGGGCAGGGCCCATTTGCCCTCATAGCCCTGCCTCCCCTGAACCACATCAATTGCTGGTACGTATTTGTAGTGCAGCTATGGCTCCTGTCCATTCTAAGTGGCCTTCCACCACTTTATTATTCCAAGCCCTACTGCTAGTCAAGATCAGGAAAGCTCTTACCATAGGAGCCGACATGTCCCTTGTAGAATAGGGAATGTTTGGTGGGTAGGAAGCATGTACAGACTCCTGCGTCCTATTGTCTGACCTTCTTCTGAAACGCCTAAATAAAACAACACAGATTGATTGATGACATCCTATGCAGGCCTGTAGACACCTTGCTATACTCATATAGAGCATTCTTTACATAGCCCAAGTTGTTCATTTGCAGTTCTGCTTGTGGCAAAATTTCCACACCAAATTTGGAACCCATAGCTTTCTTAAAATAATAATAATAAAAGTAGTAGTAGTAGTAGTAGTAATAGGGTTGACATAATTTTGAAGAGCAAAGAAGTGGACACATTTGCTGACTTACCCTTTTATTATGGATCACTATGACGACTCTCATTTTACATACTCATGTAAAAGAGTATGTGTCCTGGAAAAGGAGGACATATGGCAACCCTAATTTATCAATTAGATTTATATACCACCATTTATCATAAGATCTCAGGGTGGTTCACAGAACGAAATGATTTGACCTGATCCGAGTAGATTCCCATGATTGGTAAGCTATGTCTGGAAATATTCAAGCAAGAACTTGGATATCGGCTTCAGCTTCAAACATGCAAACCAAACTGGTTTATACAAAACAAATGTATCTGCCAGGTAAAGATGCAGTTGAGCCAAAATGGGTTTGCAGCTGAATGCCCAGAGCCATGTAAGTCCCAATGACCAGCTGATTCCCAGCAGTGGAACCAGTCACCTGGTGTAATTGTGGCATTGGTGATTACCAGGTCAGTTGCCCCTCTTGCCTGGCAAACCTGGTCTGCCAGGAGTGGGGGAGAGAAGGGTCATGCACCCTATTCCTGTGATACAGAGAAGGCGTTTAAGCAAGAGCGGCATTCCTCAAAGATCCCCTTTCTAGATCATTCTCCAAGGGAAGGTGGGGAGGGAGAGAGAGCATAGTTGCTGAGGATGGTAACAAATCCTTAATTACAGAGGCATTTATTTAAACTGGCACAAACCTTACACAATTAGGGGAAAGAGGGGCACATTGATGCACCAACAATATTTCAATATCAAGAAATGTTATTCGTGTTGCCACATCACTAAAACATGTCTATACATGTGTGAGTACAACAGTTACAACTGCACTGCTCGCCAATTAGCCGTTGGTGTTTGACGAGAGTAGGTGTGTTTTTAGCATGACCAACTAAAAAATTACGTGAAATGTAAAAGTGTTCCAACACTGTTTTACGTCGTTTAGTTAAGATTTAAAAATACCAAAGGTACTGTAAGTTATTCAACTCGGTAATCAGGATTACACGTGATTTTTAAATAAGTACAGTGGTTTTATTAATAATTGTTAGTTTTTTTGAAAATGCCTGTTGGGGCACTTTGATACACTAAGACTGGAGTCCTGTCTAGCACATTGATACATATAAAAGTGCCCCGCTAGTGTACAATAGTGCCCCAATATACAAGTTTGCATGAAATCTCTAAAGTCAATAAATCTGAAAAGAAAAAACTTGTTTACTACGTGGCCAAAGTCATTTCTAAATATAAAATGACCTATTATCAAGTGTCATATCTCAGGAAAAAAACAGGATCTTGTATGTTTGTCTTCCCCATTGTAGAAGATAAGACAAGTGTTGATTCCAAGAATGTTGTTCTGCCGTTGCCAAAACCTAATTTCCCAAAGGGTAGACTCCACCGTGGGAGCAGGGCCAGGGCGGAAGAGTGCTGGAGTCCTGTCTAGTCATGTTATATGGGATCAATTCCAATCTGCTACCTCCGAGGATTGGATGAGTGAAACCGACCACCTGTCTCCTTGATTATTCTGGCTAATAATAGGGAGATTGGAAGGGCTGGGCAATGGGCTCTGCGGGGTGGTGTATACTTCCCTCTGCAATAGAGCCTTCCCAGACCCGCTGAAAGAGGCAGTCATTAAACTACTTCTCAAAAAAACATCTTTAGACCTGGCCAATATTGTCCAGTGTCAAATCTTCCATTCTTGGGTAAGGTGATTGAGTGGGTGGTTGCTCAACAACTCCAGGCACGCCTGGAAGATGCAGACCATTAGGATCCCTTCCAGTTGGGATTCAGGCCTCATCATGGGACTGAAACTGCCTTGGTCTCGCTGGTCGATGATCTCCGGCGGGCTAGGGACAAAGGTGAGAGCTGTTTCCTAGTTCTGCTGGATCTCTCAGCAGCTTTTGACACCATCGACCATAACACCCTTCTGAACCGTCTAGAGGAGCTGGGAGCTGGGGGGCACTGTTATACAATGGTTCCGCTCCTTCCTCCTGGGCTATGTCCAGAAAGTGGTGTTGCGGGATGAGTGTTCAGACCTCTGGGCTCTCACTTGTGGGGTGCCTCAGGGTTCCGTCCTCTTCCCCCATGCTTTTTAACATGAAGCCTTTGCAAGAGATCATCAGGGGGTTTGGGCTGGGTGTTCAGCAATACGTGGATGACACCCAGCTCTACCTCTCTTTTAAATCAGAACCAGTGAGGGCAGTGAAGGTCCTGTGTGAGTGCCTGGGGATGGTTGGAGGATGGATGGCAGCTAACAGATTGAGGTTGAATCCTGACAAGACAGAAGTAGTGTTCTTGGGGGACGGGGCGGGTGGGTGTGGGGGACTCTCTGGTCCTGAATGGGGCAACTGTGCCCCTGAAGGAGCAGGTGTGCTGCCTGGGAGTCATTTTGGACTCACAGCTGTCCATGGAGGCGCAGGTTAATTCTGTGTCCAGGGCAGCTGTCTACCAGCTCCATCTGGTACACATGTTGAGACCCTACCTGTCCATGGACTGTCTCGTCAGAGTGGTACATGCTCTCGTTATCTCTCGCTTGGACTACTGCAATGCGCTCTATGTGAGGCTACCTTTGAAGGTTACCCGGAAACGACAACTAATCCAGAATGCGGCAGCCAGACTGGTGACTGGGAGCGGTCACCGAGACCACATAACACCGGTCTTGAAAGATCTACATTTGCTCCCAGTATGTTTCCGAGCACAATTCAAAGTGTTGGTGTTGACCTTTAAGGCCCTAAATGGCCTCGGTCCTGTATACCTGAAGGAGCATCTCCACCCCCATCGTTCAGCCCAGATACTGAGGTCCAGCACCGAGGGCCTTCTGGTGGTTCCCTCACTGCGAGAAGCCAAGTTACAAGGAGCCAGCCAGAGGGCGTTTTCAGTAGTGGTGCCCGCCCTGTGGAACGCCCTCCCATCAGATGTCAAAGAGATAAACAACTATCTGACATTTAGAAGACATCTGAAGGCAGCCCTGTTTAGGGAAGTTTTTAATGACTGATATTTTATTGTATTTTTAATCTTTTTTGGAAGCCGCCCAGAGTGGCTATTAACAACAACAACAACAAAAACAACAATATTACTATTTTTTGACTAATGTGAGTTCTTACACTTTTAAAGTTTTTCCAAAGTTTTCTTTTTGATGGATAGGTGTTTGAGGAAAGATTAATATATATTTTGATGTTTTGTTAAGAAAACCTGCCACAAAGTCTATGATATGTGTGAAACACTGTAAGTTTTGATATATAATTTAGATTTTAGGCAACAAATTGTAAGGCTGATTATGATCTCTCACAATAAAAATTGTTTTTTCATAATTTTTCGCAAATAATTACCATTCTCATATAATTTACGCTTTGTATCGAAGTGCCCCATTGGTGGGGCAGAATGATACAAAACCCATTTTTTACTCAAGTCATTATATTCTCATTATCTTCTAACTTTAATGGTTCTTATGATTGCTATTATAATATTGATTAGTTATGTCATGCATCAAGCCAAAAATTTTATTATTTTACTCATTAAAATATGAAATTGATTTTTTCTGTATCAATCTGCCCCACTTCCCCTAACTAACAAAGGTCCAAGTTGGCATAAGCTAAACAGAGTGAAGTTATTCTGCCCACACCAAACGGTACAGAATGCAAGAAACCACATTCCACACTCTATGCCCACAGTGAGGATGGTGTGATCATGGAAGTTGATTAATCCTTCACCTGCACTAACATTGACAGAGTAATTCTCTGGCCTGCAGGCACTAGCATCCGTTCCTGTGCCTCCTCTGCTACCTACGAAAGGTTTCAATAAATACCCCCTCAAAATTCCACAATGCACAAGATTCTTCCTTGCTAGTTCCTGTTGGCTCAGCTTGTTCTACACTGAACAGGCAACCTGTAACATACCCAAATTTCACTTAACCCCAGGATTAAGTGTGCGAGGGTGGGATGCCAGTACCATCTTGATGCCCAGTCATTTTGTGTTATGCCACACACACCGTGGCAGCCATTTTGTGCCATGCTCCAAACCCCCTGGCAGTCATTTGTGATGGCGCCCACAGCACTTTCTCAAAATTCCAAATATGCCCACTGGTCCAAAAGGGATGGTGACCCCTGATCGAATGTCTCAGGTTTGTGTGTGGTGGCATTACAGGGAACACTTTGCGGAGTCTTGCAGTTGTTCTCTAAGTGAACAGAACACACTGGATGTGACTTTACCAAGAGGCTCAGCTTCTATGCAGAGGCTTGTATAGCAATTCCACGATTCAGCCATACCAATAATTTCTTAGAGAAAATCTGTAAATTTAAGAGGCAATCCCATGCTTTGCCTGCAAAATTTCCAGGGAAGGCTCCTGCCTGAAACACTGGGGAGTCACTGCCATTCAGAGTAAGCAACACTGAGATACTTGACCAAAGGTCTGACTTCTCCAATTGTTTTCTGACAGCGTGCAGAGAACAAAACAAGACTGACAAACTGGGGGGAACTGGCTGGTGTTCAGTTGGTTCTAGAAAAACCAAATCTTCCCCATTTTGCAGAATACACAATGCCCCTGGCAGAGGGACACATCCAATTTTGGGAATGTAACACACACACACACACACACTTGCTGCCAGTGCTCCTCTTTTACCTGTGTTGCGAAGGGGCATCCACAAAGAGCTGGCAGGGGCACTGACTTCCAGTGAGATATCACAGGATCTTGTGTGCTGTGCGAGATCTTGTGAAATTTCAGTGAGATCTCATGAGATCTTGCTGCAAACCAGCACTGTTGCAGGCAGCCACTGCCTCTTAGGCTTCTACCGCTCAAGGCAGGCACCTCACCTTGCCTCACCAGTGTACCGGGCCTGGCACCAGTGCTGCACACAGAGCCTTTAAATGCTTTTGTTCTGCCAAATAATTCCTAGTCAGCTTTCCACACAGCAGGGGGGATGGACAGAAAATACTTACCCACAACAAGCCTCTATCAACGGCATTAGGGATGACACCAACTGATTCCTCGCAAGGTAAGTGAAGAGCAAAAGCAACAGGAGAGGGAGAATCAGGCAGAAGAATGCCAGCAGCCAATTTCTTGTGGTGTTATCCACATCTGAAAGAGAGAGAGAATAAACAAAGAAAGAAAATTAGCAACAACAGCAACAATGGTTACCTTTCTGCAGGGTGGGAATTACAAACTTCCTCAACCCCATTGAGGGAGAAAAGGAATGCTGTGAGCTTGTTAAATCAGTCAACAGTTTCAACCTCTGCTCTTTTCAAACCCAATGCAGTTTACAAATGCGTATAATGCACATAACAAGATTAGTATTGGTCATTTAAAGTAGCTGAGTCATTTAAAGTAGCTGGGTTCTTATGGACATGTTGGTACGGTAATCTCAGTACCCTTTCTTCCCATTGGGCAGAACATGGAAAAGCAGGGCAAGCTTACTTTTTACTGAGCACAACTGACTCCAGGGATGGCCATGGTGGTGCCCTCCAAGTGTACTCGGCTACAACTCCCATTAGCTCCAACCACTATGACCTATGGTCAGGGAGGATTATGGCTGTTGTTGTACAACAGCTGCAGTTTACCACGCTGGCTACCTCTAGACTAGACTACTGACTTTGCTTTTCTCCCATATAATCAAAATGTAGATTTGCAGTGCCCCATTACAAAGAGCAGGGAGGGAGGCAAGAGAGAAGACAGCTTGCCCAAGAAAGTGGCTATGGCATGGGAGGGAGAATAGAGGGAAAGTGGTGTTGGCATCTGTGTTGCATCCCCCTCTGCTATTTCATGCCTTCAACATGAAGCTCCAGATTCAATGTATTAACAAGCAAACAACATCCATTAGCTGCACTTCCCGTTCTCTAAGTGAGCAAGCTAACTGGACAGGTTTGCTCTTAAGGTTCAGCTCGTCTTTAAGGAACAGCAACATCTACCATCATAGCAAGTGGGTGGAAAGGGAGCTGCAAAATAAGCCTAGAAATACGGGTGGCCTGTGTGCCAGGGAGAATTGAGAAAGGGAAGGAGGAGGGAGGGGAAATGGGGTGCAGGTGAAAATGGGGGGTCACAGCAGAGTTGCCAAAAAGGAGAGAGTAGGAGACATAGAATCATAGAATCATAGAGTTGGAAGAGACCACAAGGGCCATCGAGTCCAACCCCCTGCCAAGCAGGAAACACCATCAGAGCACTCCTGACATATGGTTGTCAAGCCTCTGCTTAAAGACCTCCAAAGAAGGAGACTCCACCACACTCCTTGGCAGCAAATTCCACTGTCGAACAGCTCTTACTGTCAGGAAGTTCTTCCTAATGTTCCTAACATGGAGAAGATAAAATTGGGTAAGAAAGGTGATGCAGAATGGTGGTTTTATTATTGGGCAGAAAGTGAAGAGAGTGCCTGTTGGCTGCAGGGTGAGCAGGGAGGAAGATGCAGGAGGTGGTTGCTGTTGTTCATTTATGCCACGCCTTTTCCCCTGACAGGGACTCAAGGTGGCTTAGAGATAAAATAAAAACACCTAAAAGCATAGGGTGAAAACAATGGAATAATAATGTTGTTGTTGTTGTTGTTTAGTCGTTTAGTCGTGTCCGACTCTTCGTGACCCCATGGACCAGAGCACGCCAGGCACCACTGTCCTCCACTACCTCCCGCAGTTTGGTCAAACTCATGCTGGTAACCTCGAAAACACTATCCAACCATCTCGTCCTCTGTCGCCCCCTTCTCCTTGTGCCCTCCATCTTTCCCAGCATCAGTGTCATCTCCAGGGAGTCTTCTCTTCTCATGAGGTGGCCAAAGTACTGGAGCCTCAGCTTCACGATCTGTCCTTCCAGTGAGCACTCAGGGCTGATTTCCTTAAGAATGGATGCATTTGATCTTCTTGCAGTCCATGGGACTCTCAAGAGTCTTCTCCAGCACCATAATTCAAAAGCATCAATTCTTCGGCGATCAGCCTTCTTTATGGTCCAGCTCTCACTTCCATACATCACTACTGGGAAAACCATGGCTTTAACTATACGGACCTTTGTTGGCAAGGTGACGTCTCTACTTCTCAAGATGCTGTCTAGGCCTGTCATTGCCCTTCTCCCAAGAAGTAGGCATCTTTTAATTTCGTGGCTGCTGTCACCATCTGCAGTGGTCATGGAGCCCAAGAAAGTAAAATCTCTCACTGCCTCCATTTCTTCCCCTTCTATTTGCCAGGAGGTGATGGGACCAGTGGCCATGACCTTCGTTTTTTTGATGTTGAGCTTCAGACCATATTTTGCGCTCTCCTCTTTCACCCTCATTAAAAGGTTCTTTAATTCCTCCTCACTTTCTGCCATCCAGGTTGTGTCATCTGCATATCTGAGGTTGTTGATATTTCTTCCGGCAATCTTAATTCCAGCTTGGGATTCATCCAGCCCAGCCTTTCGCATGATGTATTCTGCATATAAATTAAATAAGCAGGGAGACAAAATACAGCCTTGTCGTACTCCTTTCCCAATTTTGAACCAATCAGTTGTTCCATATCCAGTTCTAACTGTAGCTTCTTGTCCCACATAGAGATTTCTCAGGAGACAGATGAGGTGATCAGGCACTCCCATTTCTTTAAGAACTTGCCATAGTTTGCTGTGGTCGACACAGTCAAAGGCTTTTGCATAGTCAATGAAGCAGAAGTAGATGTCTTTCTGGAACTCTCTAGCTTTCTCCATAATCCAGCGCATGTTTGCAATTTGGTCTCTGGTTCCTCTGCCTCTTCTAAATCCAGCTTGCACTTCTGGGAGTTTTCGATCCACATACTGCTTGAGCCTTCCTTGTAGAATTTTAAGCATAACCTTGCTAGCGTGTGAAATGAGTGCAATTTGCGGTAGTTGGAGCATTCTTTGGCACTGCCCTTCTTTGGGATTGGGATGTAGACGGATCTTCTCCAATCTTCTGGCCACTGCTGAGTTTTCCAAATTTGCTGGCATATTGAGTGTAGCACCTTAACAGCATCATCTTTTAAAATTTTAAATAGTTCTGCTGGAATACCATCACTTCCACTGGCCTTGTTATTTGCAGTGCTTTCTAAGGCCCATTTGACTTCACTCTCCAGGATGTCTGGCTCAAGGTCAGCAACCACACTACCTGGAATGTACGAGACATCCATATCTTTCTGGTATAATTCCTCTGTGTATTCTTGCCACCTCTTCAATCTGCATTATATTTACAACGGTATTTTTTGCCTCAAAGGATGCTGTGCCAGTCTTTACCTTGTGCATAATACCCACCACAAAAAGTCCAATAGCCCATCAATCTAATTGTCTTCTCCAAGAGAAACTTGGATTGCATAAAAAAATCAACACTAAAAATTGTTACCAACCTTTGTATGGAATTGGGTCTTTAGGAGCAAATGGATCTTTATAATGTATCTGGGACCTTCTTCTATACCTTTGGGGGAGTGGTTGCTTTTTTGTCTGAATTTAATACAACATGCAGTGCAGTGTCTGTGCTCAAACAATAAATGGTAAGTTAAGCGGCAATGTTGCAATATTATCCTGTCAAAGCAAAGACCCTAAAAACACTCCTTCATCAGTCACACATCTGAAACACAGTGAAACACCAAAAAATTCATTGGTTATTTTCCCACATTTTTTCAAAATAACATGTGCATGAATTTGGAATGGTCATAGCTCAATTACAGAGCACCTGCTATGCATGCAGAAGGTCTCAGGTTCAGTCCATGGCCTCTCTGAGGATCCCTGGCTGAAATTCTGGTGAGCATCAAGCAATACTGATCTAGGTGGATAAAGCAGCTTCCTCTGTCCCCAATGACTTTTGCAGAAAGTTGGCCCAGGACAAAAAAAGCTCTGGAAGTTGTAAGATTCCCCCCACCAATCCAGAGACCCCAAGTTTCCAACGGCTGGTTACCCAAAACCCAAGCTCCTCTTCCCATGGAAAACAAAACCAGAGAGGCACAGTAAGCCACCACCATTTGAATGAACGGTCATAGACCAGGGTTATTACGGTCATAGACCAGGATTAAGAAAAGCATATAGATAAAATAGCAGTTGGGATTTTTGACCGATAATTGTTAGGGCAAATGAGGACAAGGAAACAGGCATAAAACATCCGAATAAAATACAAGATTAAACACAGATAATGGGTGGATAAAAACCTAATAATTAAAACAGATAAGAGCTAAAAACCAACAAAGACACGCAGTTAAAACAACTGTAAGAGCATAAGAACTAAAAGACTCGCAGATAAAACAACTATAAGAGGCTGCAGAGTAGAAGCCTCTTAAATAGAGGACACTCACAATGTTAAAAACTACTGTGCAATATGGTTAAAACGGACAATTAAAACAATATACAACACTAAATTTAGAAACAATGTACAGCAATAAACTGTCCCAGGGAGTTGACTCAGAATCACTCATGGAACCGTGTTTGGGGCTTTTCATGCCGGACTATTTTGAGTTGGGCGATGGTCTGCGCCTACAGATCTGTAGACAGAATCTGGCGACCATCCAGGTCATCTTCTGATCTTTGCCCAACAGCAAAAGGTCAAATTTTTGCTTTTGCGGGAGGTCGGTGAGCCTCACCAGTAGGGGATCCATGATCTTGCTACGTGCTCTTTATAAAAGGGACATCTAAAGAACAAGTGTTCTGGGCTTCCTATCTCTCCCAATGGACAGGTGCAAAGTCTCTGAGCATACGGGACCCTTCTAAAGGCTCCATCCAGGACCAGCGTGGGAAGAGCCGAGCTTCTGGCGAGTGTAAAGGCCCTTCTTGCATTTCTAGATACAAGAAAGAAGAGATATGCTGCTGGTGAGGCTATATATCTCTCGATTTCTCCAATTCTATAGTTGGGGCACCTTGCACAGTCCTGCTCTCTCTCGGTGTCTAATATTCTTTGCCAGACCATAGCTTTTGCCTGGTCCAGACCCAGACTTAGAAGGGCTTGAGGGGCAAAACCCAATTTCCAGAGGGTGTTCAGAACTGCAGTCTGCAGACTGTAATTGGTCGCAGAGGATCAGTGGGGCTATTCCTCGGGGGAGCAGATTCAATGTCAGCCATTTGTAAATTGATGTTAAGCAAATGCTAGCCTCCACTCTCATCATCCCCATTTCCAATCTCACCCATGCATTTGAGACACATCTGGGGACTTGGAGGAGAGCTCTAAGAAGTCTGGATTGAACCCCCTCAAGTGGGGAGAAAGCAGAGGAAGGCGGGCCCAAAAAGGAACCATAGAGGAGTTGTGCATATAGCAGGACCGAAATATGCCGATTTGCAAGCTTCGGCGGTCATTGAGTGCAGATACTAAGTTATTTAGATAGAAATTAAATAGTAGAGGGGCCAATAGGCACCCTTGCCTGACTCATTTGAAGGTTTTTATTGGGTGCGTTAGGTGACCTAGGCGGCTGCACCTGACTCTAAGAGCTGTGTTTGTGTGCAGTGCCTGAATTAGGAGCAGGAGCCTTCTATCTATATTGGTACCCTGTAGTCTGTCCCAGAGTCTGGTTCTGGAGACTTTATCAAATGCTGCTTTTAGGTCGACGAAGGCCGCGTATAGTGAGGCCTGCCCTCCTGATTTGTATTTGTCGATGAGATGTTGTAGCGTAGGCAGTGATCGGTCGTGGACCTTCCGGGTCTGAAGCCTGCTTGTTCTCTTGCCAGGGTATCTTCATTCTCCAGCCATTTTGTAAACTTATTAAGGAGGTGCTTTGAGTAGAGTTTACTAATCACACTTAATAAGCTAATCGGCCTATAATTCGCTGGGTCCCCTCTGTTGCCCTTTTTATAGATTGGGACTATTATGGCTGTTCCCCATTCCCTTGGGATGCGGCCAGTGTCATCTATGTAAGTGAAGAGGTTGGCTAAGAAAGGTGCCCACCAATCCGCCTGTGCTTTTATCATTTCTGGTGTAATGCCGTCTGAGCCTGGGGCTTTGGCCGTTTGTAAGCCACCACCATACCAGCCAAGGAGGACTTAAGCTACTTGGAGCAGCTGTCACTTCCCAACCTCCAGGCGTCACCAAAGACAGGAAGGTGTGTGGTTCAGGTACTTGCCATTGTATGGAGGTCCACTGTCCAGACTGCCGCCATATCCTTTGGCATCACAGTAGGGAGGGGCCCACCCCGGGTGACAGTGGCAGTTCTTATTGCTATTGCACACCTGTTTGGATGAAAAGCAGCAAGCAAAGAGTGAAAAATAAATACAGTAAATGGACAAAAGTACAAAGAACATAAAGGTAAAGGGACTGACCATTAGGTCCAGTTGTGGCCAACTCTGGGGTTGCGGCGCTCATCTTGCTTTACTGGCCAAGGGAGCCGGTGTACAGCTTCCGGGTCACGTGGCCAGCATGACTAAGCCGCTTCTGGCGAACCAGAGCAGCACACAGAAATGCCGTTTACCTTCCCGCCGGAGCGGTACCTATTTATCTACTTGCACTTTGACGTGCTTTCGAACTGCTAGGTTGGCAGGAGCAGGGACCGAGCAATGGGAGCTCACCCTGTCGTGGGGATTCAAAACACCAACCTTCTGATCGGCAAGTCCTAGGCTCTGTGGTTTAACCCACAGCACCACCCGCGTCCCACAAAGAACATACATTACTCATATTGAAATACTGCCCCTCAATGAGTACAAGCTTTCATCAGTAAAACACCACACATCCACATTCTACACTGCTTCACACATTAAACTATGGGTAGGCAAACTAAGGCCCAGGGGTGGATCCAGCCCACGGATGGTCCAGGAATCATGTTTTTACATGAGTAGAATATGTCCTTTTATTTAAAATGCATCTCTGGGTTATTTGTTGGGCATAGGAATTCATTCCTTTTTTTCCCTTTTGAAAATATAGTCCAGCCCCCCCACAAGGTTTGAGGGACGGTGGACCAGCTCCCTGCTGAAAAAGTTTGCTGACCGACCCCTGCATTAAACACTTGTTTCTGTCTGAGACTTGGGAAACATCATGACAGGAAATGAGGCTGCCATCGGGGGTAGCAGCGGAACTGACGATTCGCTGTGCTAGAGAAGAAACTATTTTTTTTTTAAAAAAAAGTTTAGTTTCTTCTCCCATTAGATTCTCAATTTTTTAAGGGGTTTCAATACCCCTGCGTCTCCCCAGGAAAAAAGCACTGAGTAATACCATAATATTATATATCAATGGAAAGATAATTTAATGAAGAATGTAATGCAATGACTTTTATGAATGATTATTAAAACAGCAGTCATAAAGAAGAAACCTGAAACACATAGGAAAAATGAGATATACAAATACCCTCACCATTTCAGTTAATACTTAGTTGAGTAACCTTTAGCTTTAATTACGGCCTTACAACGCCTTCCCATGGAGTGAACCAAGTTTTTTAGTCCTGCAGCTGTTATAATGTGAAACCAAGATAGAATTATTGCCTCTATTAATTGGGTTTTATTGCTGGGTTGCTTCTGACTAGCAAGTTTCTTTAGTCGGCTCCATAGATTTTCAATTGGGTTAAGGTCTGAGCTATGTATTTGGGGGCATTTACATTCCCATTAATGACGCAAATTCTGCCCACACCTTTTGCTGTGATACAACCCCAGATCATAACACTATCTGGGTGTTTCACAGTAGGATGTAAATCTTCTCCAATTCTTCACCTCACATATTTCATGCCATCACTACCAAGCAAGGAGATTTTGGTCTCAGCACTCCAAATAACACTGTCCCATTCTTCTGCTGTCCAGTTAACATGGGTTTTAGTCCAGTTTAACCTTTTCAACCTTTGTTTGAGAGATAATGGCTTTTTCCTTGGAATTCTAGTATTCAGACCATATTCCTGCAGTCTGCGCCAAACGGTCCTTGCACTCAACTTCACATTACATTGCCCCATGTCATCTTGTATAAACCCAGATGATTTTCTTCTCTCATGCAGCCACAGTTTCTCAGTTCTTCTATTGTCACTGGCTGTTGTGAACCTTTTCCTACCTTTACCAGTCTGATTTTGTAATCTTTTACCTCTTCAAAAATTTAGGAATACCACCTTTGGTTAAGTGGTATTTCAAGGAATCATAAAACCCACTGACAAATACCCCTTCCTCTTGGTTCATGTGGGAACCAATGACACTGCAAGCAATAGCCTCCAGAAGATCAAAAGAGACTACGAGGCTCTGGGCAGGAAATTGAAGCAATTAAATGCACAAATTGTCATCTCATCTGTCCTCCCAGTTGAACGACGTGGCCCAGGGAGAGAGGGGGAAATAGTGGAAGTGAACAGCTGGCTTCGCAAATGGTGTAAACAGGAACGGTTTGGATTCTTAGATCACGGACTGCAGTTTCCTGAAGATGGACTTCTGGCAAGCGATGGGCTGCACCTCACAGCGGTTGGGAGGAATGTTTTTGCCAAAAATCTCAGAAACCTCATCAGGAGGGCTTTAAACTGACTAATGTGGGGGAGGGAGACAGTGCACCTGAAGGTAGGAGTCTATCAATTGATGAAGATGATCATCCAAATGTCATAGACCAAATGGAGCAAACAGGATGCAGACCTAGTGGTGGGAGGAAAAAATCCTTAAATAAGAGACACGGGGGAATGATTAATGGACTTCAATGTCTGTACACTAACGCGCAAAGCATGGGAAATAAACAAGATGAGCTTGAGCTCTTGGTACAGCAAACTAAATATGACATAATAGGCATCACTGAAACCTGGTGGGATAAGTCCCACGATTGGAATGTAATAATGGAGGGATACAATCTATTTCAGAGAAACAGACCAGACAAGAAAGGAGGAGGAGTGGCGTTATATGTCAGGGATGTGTATACCTGTGAAGAGATCCAAGATTTAGAACCTCAAAGCCAAAGTGAGAGCATTTGGGTCAAAATTAAGGGAGAGAAGAATAACAGAGACCTCATTGTGGGAGTTTACTATAGATCCCCAAGCCAAACGGAGGACATAGATGATGCCTTCCTGGAACAGATGGCCAAGCATGCAAAAGGAAGGGAGATAGTAGTAATGGGGGACTTCAATTACCCGGATATTTGTTGGATGTCAAACTCAGCCAAGAGCATAAGGTCAAACAGATTCCTCACTGGCCTTGCAGACAACTTCATTGTCCAGAAAGTGGGAGAAGCAACAAGAGGAACAGCCATTTTAGATCTGGTCCTAACCAATGTTGAGGACCTGGTTAGTGGGGTAGAAGTGGAAGGATCATTAGGCGCGAGTGATCATGCTCTTCTGAAGTTTACTATACAGCGGAAAGGAGCAGCCAAGCATACTAGGACTCAATTTCTTGACTTTAAGAAAGCCGACTTCATAAAACTTAGGGAAGTGCTGGGTGAGATCCCATGGACAGTAATACTAAAAGGAAAGGGAGTTCATGATGGCTGGGAGTTTGTTAAGAGGGAGATAGTAAAAGCACAACTTCAGGCAATACCAATGAGACGGAAACATGGAAGGTGCCTAAAGAAGCCAGGGTGGCTATCTAAAGAACTTTTAACTGAGTTAAGATTAAAAAAGGATGTGTACAAAAAATGGAAAAGGGGGGAAACCACCAAAGAGGAATTCAAACAAATAGCCAGCACGTGTAGACACAAAGTCAGAAAAGCTAAAGCACAGAATGAACTCAGGCTTGCTAGAGAGGTTAAAAGCAACAAAAAAGGCTTTTATGGGTATGTTCGTAGCAAAAGGAAGAACAAAGAAACAGTGGGGTCACTCAGAGGAGAAGATGGTGAAATGCAAACAGGGGACACAGAAAGGGCTGAACTCCTCAATGCCTTATTTGCCTCAGTCTTCTCTGATAAAGAAAACAATGCCCGACCTGAAGAATTTGGAGCAAATGATTCAGCAGAGGAAACACAGCCCAGAATAACTAAGGAGATAGTACAAGAATACTTGGCTAGTCTAGATGTATTCAAGTCTCCAGGGCCAGATGAACTGCATCCAAGAGTATTAAAAGAACTGGCAGATGTGATTTCAGAACCACTGGCAGTCATCTTTGAGAATTCCTGGAGAACAGGCGAAGTCCCGGCAGACTGGAGGAGGGCAAATGTTGTTCCTATTTTCAAAAAGGGGAAAAGAGAGGACCCAAATAATTATCGCCCAGTCAGTCTGACATCAATACCAGGGAAGATTCTGGAGCAGATCATTAAGCAAACAGTCTGTGAGCACCTAGAAAGGAATGCTGTGATCACCAATAGTCAGCATGGATTTCTGAAAAATAAGTCATGTCAGACTAACCTGATCTCATTTTTTGACAGAATTACAAGCCTGGTAGATGAAGGGAACGCAGTGGATGTAGCCTACCTTGATTTCAGCAAGGCATTCGACAAGGTGCCCCATGATATTCTTGTAAATAAGCTGGTAAAATGCGGACTTGACTATGCTACCACTCAGTGGATTTGTAACTGGCTGACTGACCGAACCCAAAGGGTTCAATGGTTCCTCAAAGGGTTCAATGGTTCCTCTTCATCCTGGAGAAGAGTGACTAGTGGGGTGCCACAGGGTTCTGTCTTGGGCCCGGTCTTATTCAACATCTTTATCAATGACTTGGATGATGGACTCAAGGGCATCCTGATCAAATTTGCAGATGACACCAAACTGGGGGTGGGGGTGGCTAACACCCCAGAGGACAGGATCACACTTCAAAACAACCTTGACAGATTAGAGAACTGGGCCAAAACAAAGATGAACTTTAACAGGGAGAAATGTAAAGTATTGCACTTGGGCAAAAAAAAATGGGAGGCACAAATACAAGATGAGGGGACACCTGGCTTGAGAGCAGTACATGTGAAAAGGATCTAGGAGTCTTGGTTGACCACAAACTTGACCATGAGCCAACAGTGTGACGCGGCAGCTAAAAAAGCCAATGCAATTCTGGGCTGCATCAATAGAAGTATAGCATCTAGATCAAGGGAAGTAATAGTGCCACTGTATTCTGCTCTGGTCAGACCTCACCTGGAGTACTGTGTCCAGTTCTGGGCACCACAGTTCAAGAAGGACACTGACAAACTGGAACGTGTCCAGAGGAGGGCAGCCAAAATGGTCAAAGGCCTGGAAACGATGCCTCATGAGGAACGGCTAAGGGAGGTGGGCATGTTTAGCCTGGGGAAGAGGAGGTTAAGGGGTGATATGATAGCCATGTTCAAATATATAAAAGGATGTCACATAGAGGAGGGAGAAAGGTTGTTTTCT